CAGTTTAATTTTCTGTTTTCAAATTGGCGGTGCCCTCAGTCAAATTTTGAGCACATTTGACGACAATTTTCCCACGATGGCACCACTCTTTCGAGTCTCAGTACGCGGTAACCAGTAAAGTTTGATTCCTACTTCTCTTTGGATAATATTCAAATCTGTTTTCCTGAGCATTCTTCTCCTATTAACGGTCTTAATTTAGAGATGAATTCATAGTTAAAATTCTCCGATGTCTCTTTTGACATGTGAGGTCTTTCTTAGAATAGCCAGTCGCCTTGTTTCTACTCCCTTCAACTTACAGGGGTATGGTTTCTCCATTTCTCTATGCGCATGCTGAGTCATGCTGCGGCCGCTGTTCGGTCGTCTTGTCCATTCTGTGGCACGAGAGATTTTTTCTGAACTTCATCACTAAACAACAACATATTTCATTTGTAAAGGAGCTGAAAAGAAAGGTAGAAAAGTCACACAAGGGCTTTGATGCCGTCCGACGGCCTTTGTTAATTATTATTAATCTATTAAATCCCTGCTTCACTCAAGTAGCGCAGACATCGTGATGAAAGGAGCATAAGTAAAAAAAGTGGCGTTCGTGAGGTGAAAGGTGTCGTAAAGGCAATAGTTTTTTTCAAGTTACTCTCATGTCATCACCTTTATAATATCAGTTCAGCAAGAGATGTTACTTTCAGTGATAAGTTCAAAGTCCGAAATAGTCATAATCTTCCCCAGTCATTAATCAAAGCATAAGATTTTGTTAAGTTCCTCGTAGATTGGGGTAGGAGCAACCCACACGCAAAGTTTGCGACAAAATTAAGCTAAATTAGTATTCAAATTAGTTTAATTGAATTATTATGCGATCCTTCCTTTCCAGAATTTCAGGATTATCGAAATAAGATCTTCCTTTTTCGTGGACTACAAAATGGCCACAAAAACTATTTATTTCAGATTCCAAAGTCGCCTTCGTGAGCGGTTCAGGTCTGTGAAACCCTTTGATCATGTGCTGGGATAAAATTCCAGCGCCACTAATCGATAAGTGACCCTGTGGTGGTGGTCCGTGTTAGTGGGCGTCTTAGAACTTAGAAAATTACTGAAGTTAGTCCCTCTAGGGCATGATTTTAAGGGCAGAGGCTAATATTGTGGTTTCGTGCTGACCGTGAAAACTTATTTGATTTAATATGTCTGACCCGGTTCACCTTTTACAAATTTTTTTTACGATTCAAGACATATATCTCATGTATTTGTCACGATTTTCATGTATTTATGATTTTTTCTATCCGGTAGCTGATGATAAGCCCTGTTCTTTGACATTATCTCTTATAAAGTGAAGTAGTCGCTCATTGAAAGGCAACTGCAGAGTAATCGGAGCTTACTTGTAAAGCCTCTGATAATGAATGCGTTGCAATGCAACTCAACAAGTAATTAATGTTGAAAATATCTTGTTTCCTTTCTTGCTGAATGTTCTGCTGCTTGTGCTGAAAACTGATCACAAAACTTAGTTCCCAGCGGAAATTTCAGTCATCACGGATCGAAAAATTTTGTTCTCGCAAAATATTTAAGACCACCTATGAACTTTACAACATTAGAGGAACGAGCTTATCGTAGTCAGATCATAAAAGAAAAAAAAACTTCTTTGAATGTGTTTGTTCAGTTTGTTAGAGACATGTCTATCCTGCGTAGCAGGTGGTTTTTGGGGCGCTCGACAAAAATGAATGTGGCGTGAAAATGAGCAGCGGTACTTCCCCTAAACAACCAGGCGTGCAGGCTGATATTAGTCATTTGTTCTTGTAGCATGTTCCTGCCACCCGCGAGGATCGATGGGAAAAGTTTGCGACCAGAGCACAGGTCAGTGTCCGTGCAAGGAAGGAGTGACTGGAAGAGAGTGCGACAAATGTGCAGAGGGTTATAAAACTACAAAGAGCGCCATAGCACCTTGTATCAGTGAGTATTCTTTGGAATTAAAACTCTCCACGTTTGTTTTTCATTGGAAAATGAAGATTTTACTTTACATGGGAAGTAGGCTCAATTTTCGCCGTTCTTTTGAGTCTGGTCCTACATGAACACGGGCTTATTTCCCAAACAGAGGCCACTGGTCGAGTCTAATTGTTATTTTCATATTTAAATGTCATCCTCGATATCAGTGGGCTGATTCGTTCTCAGAGACAAGTAAAGTGAAAAATAAGGGACCAGTAAGAGAATATAAACTGTTTAAATTCTCTTGGGGGTTCAGTCTTTATTCAACCTCCCCCCCCTCGGTTCCCCCTGAAAAACATTTGATACCCCCCCCCGCCCCGCCCCCAAATCTTCGACTTCTCATTTCTTTGTATGCGTTCGTTTCCAGAACCACCATACCCGGTGATGTCGATTCAGCCCGATGGATCATGTAAGTTTGCGATTTTTGTGTATAACTCGTAACTGAAGATTCTCCACAAACAAACCGCATTAACCATGTTTGCTCTGACAGAGGGCTCACGCTCGAAACATCATTTTTAGAAACTATTTACGGTGGCAATCTACATTATCAACTCTGTTGATAAAAACGAATTATCTTGTGACCCTCCAACAAACAGAGCACCACAGTTTCTTTAGAATCTTACCGCCTTATCGGTTGACGGATTTGGAAGCCCATGTGGAATGTTTGAGAACACAAATTACGAAGTTAACGAATTACGAGCCAACACTAATTTGAATCGAGATAGGATGACATGAGTAAATTCTCTTTAGTGTGAATCAAAACCGATTCAATAGAAATATCATTTGAAAATGTTTTTCCAATCTATCGCAGCCTGCTTCCAGTGCAAGGGAGCCGGTCTTTCAGGAAGGAAATTCTGTCGAAAAGATTTTGGTAAGTTTTCTCAGAGAAAAACCACAAGGTGTCCTTGAACTGACGGAGTGGGGGGGAGGGGGGGGGGGGGGAAGGAAGAAGGGGTGGGGCTCGATCGTTAGAAAGGAGCGGCCAGGATGAATGATACTTTTCTTCTTCCGAACCGTCGCCCAGTTTTGATAGATACCATTTACAATAAGGTTTTTATTTCTCTGGTTGTAAAAACAGGCGATAGTTAAACGATGTTGATTTAGCAGAAACGCAATCTTATTTTGTACTAGAACATAACTCATCCCAAATGACTCTGGCCTTCTGCGTAGCTTTATCATTCTTCTCAGTGTCTATGGTAAAGCTCTTGTCTAAGGAATAAGAGGAGAGGTTATTTAAGACAGGCGGCTTGGAAACATAGAGTTCTGAACGAGAGACTTGTACTTGAGGGGATTTATTCCATTTTAATAGAGAAGGAAGATTGTAAGAGAGGAAGGTATAAAACAGAGGGAAGCAGGGAGGGGACCCTTGTGACATGACAATGTTTCCCTTCACTGTCGATGTTAGATATGACACGTTCTTCTCCTCCATCGAAAGTCGTTTGTCTAAGTTCTGCATATTGTCGTGAGTCGCCAAACATCTAGCCTTTTATTTTTGTCCAGATAGGGTATACTGTCTTTAAGGTCTCAGCAACTGATCGCAGCACCATAAATAATCCTGTTTAACAAATCTGTAACCGTCCTATCTAAGCACTGTTATGATTTTTGCTTGTTTGTTTGTTTTATCAGCAATGAAAGTCGCTGTTCTTGGGTTGGACAGAACATTGCAGGGAGAATGGGTCCGAGTGACCGTCAACGTCATGACACGTTACAAGCGTTCATTGGTCCGTTTGAAATTAGGAAATGAATTTCTTTGGATTCCGAAACGAGACCACAAATGCAAATGTCCCAAGCTCCGTCCTGGCCGGCATTACTTAATAGCTGGCTCAATTAAATCCTCTCGTCAGAGAAGGAAAATTGTTGTGAACAACCGCAGCATGGTAGTCACGTGGAATAAGAGCATGGAGAGAAGAGTGGAACGAATGAAGAAGAGGTGTCAAAAACAAACACGGCTTTGAATATCGATGTAATGAAAGCAAGCGTTCGGAAATGTAATTAGAAACCAGGAAAACGAGGATTGGAAAGAACTAATCCAGAAGAGGTGTCAGAACGAAACACGATTTTGAACTACGTCGCAATGCACAGCAAATCTCGAAAATTTTAGTAGACACAAGCAAAACTGGTGTGGTAAAAGAAACAGTTGATATTGTTCAGTCTGGGGTACTTGTGAAGAAAGCGAGAATATGAACAGAGGGGGAAGAAAGGAAAAGTCTACCGGTATATCGGTAGAATGTGTTTCCTATCTTTAGGATGTCTTGAAGCAGCCGACTTTTCTCTTTCTCTTTTAGAGGCCCTCAAACAAAAAATTGGAAAACCACTAAATTCTTCCGTTTTTATCATCTGAACACGTGAAAAACCACCTCGCCAAACAACGCGTCGATCCACGACGAGGCTCTCATAGTTTTTGAAGATCTTTTGTATTTTTTCAAATATTTTTCCCTCAAAAAAACTCCAAGATCGTGAGTAATAACAGAGCACAATATTCATTTTCTATGATTTCCGATTGAGATTATATTAAATCATAGTTAATATGTAACCCCAAATCGTTGTGAAATGTTTCAGGAAATTAACCTGAAATTTAAATAATATATGATTGTATAATTCCTCCTTATTGATGACGTCAATCACTTTTGTGTTTGCTTCCTTTGCTCAATTCGTATGCAAGTAATTATCAACAGAAAAAAATGCACATCGTTTTAAGAACCCAGTCTACACCGCTGAGTGCGCATGTACCCTCGATTACTGCGCTCAAGTCCCAAGTCTTCAGACGGCCTTAAGATCTCGCCATAATTTCAACTTCACAGCAACCTAGCGCTCTTAACCTGTCGCGACTCGCACTCCCGTTCTTAATTCAGCGCGACTTTCACTGCGTTTACTTTTAAGTTCTTCACAAGCTGCATAAAAAAAGTGGTCCTCATATGTTATCCTTCTGGTGAGCCGGGTATAGTTAAGAATCCACCATTAGACTGTACTTGGGTGATACGGAAATGAGCAAGTGTCCTGGACATTTTTTTATTTTTTAATTAAAATACAACTTATAAAATTTGTCTCCTAATTACATTCAATTTCACGAATAACTCTTCTCCGAAAACAAAATCTCCAACCGTATTCGGTTTCACGGGACTTTCACTTCTCCTGCTACAACATTGGTTAATAGTCACTTCGCCATCACTCAAATCAACCGACACCATAAGTCAACTCGTGAACACACCTGGTCAACTCGCCGGCAACATCGTGAGTACTATCGTCGACGCCGTAAAGTAGTTTGGAGAAGTGACCGTGGATGTCGGCGAGTTGGCTAAAGGTTTCGGTGAGTAGACTAAGTGTGTCCGTGAGTTCACATGTTGGCGAGTGGACCAGGTATCATAGCATTATAATCTGTTGGTCTTCCCCGTAGATTCCCTGCGCGAACTACTAAGTTCAAGGTTCTGGGCATTTCATAACTGCATTTACAGTTCTGAGTCTCTCTAATAGCACTTTGATTGTAATTTACAGTAATTTTAGAGACGTGGTTTCCTATCATTCTTCTACGTTTTAAATTCTGACGGTAAATCATTTTTATATTATGTCCTTTGCACAATTTTTTCAACTTAGAAAAATGTCAAAGTTGATCACTGCGTTATAATTAACTTGTAAAAATACATATACACAATTCTTGCACTCTACATTCCTGTCTGTGGTATGATTCAAAATCAAGTGAGGTGATAAGCAAGTAGGAACGCATTACAAATTCCCCTCCTCCCCTCCACCATTGTGTATTTTCAAGCATTTTTTCCCACCCTACTTTTCATTGTCCCTCCCCACCCTAGCATCGCTTCCTCTTTATCCAAGAGGGAAATTTTGGGGAAGGGGGGGTGGACAAGGGAAGAAAGGTTCTTTCCATTTTCAAATTAATTCAAATGAATAAACATCAATTATTTGGAAAGACACAGATAATCAGTGAGTTGGAACAACTGCCACAACAATAATAGCAATAATTAGCAGGACTATAACCACCAGCATTCCTGAAAGAAAAGCACAGACATCTTATCACTACAACACACCAAATATTTTTGCTGGTGTGTGATTGGTTCAAAGGCATCTCAAGATCAAACATGCCCCAGCTAAAACTGAGGAATATCTATTGTTAGAATCATTCAATTATTTTTGCTTGCACACAATTGGCTTGAATGCATAACATGACCAAATATTCCCCAACTAAACTGAACAATATCCAAGGATATACCCCATGTGATATTCCCCAGTTTTGAAACATTACATCCACTACAATAAGTCTTCATTTAAAATTTAATTCAAGAAGAGAGCATGCATTTTAAGGTTGATACAGAGGAGGAGATAAAGTCACACCAGAGAACGTACCAGAGTAGGCATGTGTTTTAAACAAAGAAATGTCTTTCAAACATCATTTTTGCATATTGTCTTATAAGTATATAAAAATTAAGATTGAAATGTTAGTGATCAAGGATAGTTCATTAATGCAGGTCACATGTAGTTTTAATACGCACCACAAGTTGAAGATTTTGCCGTCACTCTCCGCACATGGGCTGTCTCTCGGATAAGGCGCTGGTTGGTTTGATCCATGCCGGCATCAATGTCATCAATGATTTCTGCAGCACATCAAAAGATCAACCCTTATAATCTATATACATCAATACCAAGGCTCCAAGCTGTGGCCACTACATCAAGTAAAAATTTTGGCAACTAAATTTGCCAACCCCATTTGGCAACCTGAGTTCTGGGATAACGATAATGTAGCACATACACTTGTAACAGGTTTGTGACTTTGATTAATGGCCCAAGGCCCCTCCCAACCCAACATCAACCCAAAATTGTTATCAGTTGACTGTTGTTGGGGTTAGGGGAGGGGTAGGTGTGCAGTTTGGATACTGACACTGATCCAACATTTTCATAAAATGTTACTCATGCTCTGTCGTTTTCTTCTTTAAAAATTTGTTTTTCTCCTTGAGGCTTGAGAATCAAGCCCTGAAGTGATTGAAGAATCCCCAAAAATGAGTGTGATCTACACTGCAGACTCCAAAGAGAATAAGCATAACCAGAAGTTTAGGATAATAACCACCTAAATGCACAAGCTGTGACCAATGAATTATAATAACTAGCCTATCATGGAGCCAGCAAACCCATGGAATAACAAAGGTTTCATTGAGGAAGAGAAAAAGAGTCAAATATTTCATTGATAAACCCCTAGATCAGCCAGAGATTGGCCCATATGCCAAGTAGGATACATAGAAAAGATTAAGGGGGTAAGTCTCTATAGAAACTATGGTGCTGCATTGGTGGGAGAGTACAACAAGGTAATTTGGTTTTATCAACTGAGTTGATAATGTAAATTGGCCACCGTAAAGAGTTTCAAAGCTAGGAAACTATAAACAGTGACCAATTTACACTTTCAACTCATTTGATAACACTAAAAGAAAGGGTAGGATTTGTTCATACTTTAGGCCCAAGCAAAATACCCGTCATCCCCATTACAAAGCATACATGTACACCTTTTTTTAATTCCAAAATGTCTATTGATCAATTTAATAACAGCACTCAGTTCTCAATAATAGACACTGTTTAGAGTGAAGTCAACAAAGAGATGTAGTAAGAAGATTAATCAGAGATTGGCTATATGCTAAATGGGGGACAAAGAAAGGATAACAAGGGTAAATTTCTAAGGAAACTGTGGTGCTGTGTCGGAGTTTGGTGAAGATACTGACCATTTTGTAAGTCTACTTCATCAGAGATAGCTTGTCCCATTAATTTCTGCCTCTGAATGATTCCTGACAAGGCTTCTAATCCTTGGTCTTGTTCTGAAAGTACAACAAAAATTAACAGCAAACTGAATGGAGATGTGCACTAAACACTCATTTGACTTTTTCAAAATCACTGTTTAACTGATTTAATTATGAGCTTCTCCTTTTGACAGCACAAAACTGACTATGACTAAACTAGATTTTTCGCAAGGAATACCTGCAATAATTTGTTGTTGTTGTCTCCTCATATCATCAATTGACACATTGCTATCAGGTTCAGGTTCATCAAATGGATTGGTGTCTCGCCCCCTAGGATCAGTTGCCAGTAACGAGCTCCTTAAAATATAAAGCAGAAAATCTTTTCTTCCAATGCTCAAACTCCTAAAATTTTGTATTCAATTAAGTGGGAGAAATGAGACTGAAACAACTGAACTTTCCAGTAATGGATCTATGATAAATATCCTCATTATTGTCATTTGCCTACAAGACCCAAGCAACTTAAAATGCTTAAAAATAACAATTGTTGTAAGCAATGAATCAATAATTCCACGTCACCATTTTATGATTTTGTATAGGATGCAAAAAGAGATTTTGAATGAGTCTGTTAAGTAAATCCAAACTTCCTGGTCACCCAATCTTTAGTTTTGAAATGAGATAATGAAAAGATCTTTAAGGTAGGCTGAGGAAGGCACTTTGGTGAGTACAAGTTCACAAAGGTTGGACAAGTTTCTGATGGGGTACAAGGTGACAGAAGACCCTTTTTTATCTTTCCTCTGTTGCAAGAAAGGGAGAAGAGATCACACTTCCTTCACACTTTGATTAGTTACTTGGTTTACAGACCCCCTTGCTCATCCCCTGAAATACCTGTTGACTTCCCCTAAAGATGGAATGAAATATTGCCCAAGTTGCACAACACCACTGGAAATGTCACATACAACCACATCAAATGTCCCACAAAATCACTGCAGACATCACTCGAAGCACTGCAAACACAAAAATTAATAAACTTGATTTCCAAACCTCTCCCACCTTCCATAATCACTCTGACCAGCCTCTTGTTGAAAGGCTGCAGTCATCTGTTTCTCTCTGGAAAGCAAACAAAATAGAACGTCCAAGAATTAAGTATGATAAATTAAATGCCATTAGCAGGATTTTCATTAAAAAGTGTAGTGGCAGAGGCATAACTTAGAGTAACTGGTTACAAAAGTTATGAGAAAATTCTGCACACCATCTAGCAAATTCTCTACTCCCTTATATCTACTGAATATCCCGTCAAAGCAAGGGCATAGCTACCTGAGGTGCCCCCTACCCCTTCTACCTATCATCCTTCCAAAATGCTCAAACTCAAAGAATCTACGTGGTATGAATCTTTTCAATGGCTGGATACTCTGCTTGTTGGTCCTTTTCACTCCATGAATGGTTGCCCTCTCAAAGGCAAGGAAGAGCAGTGGCATAAACCAATTCCCCTAAGGTGAGCAGGAATTAGTAACTATTTCTCCCCTTTTGAAAAGGTCCCTATCAACACCCCTGCAAAGTTACAACTATTCACTATCAAGGATGACTCCAGAGAGAATGGCAGAGGGTTTATAAGTGACGAGTGATTTGCCTCCTGAAAAATATGTGACCTGTGTTTTTTTCCTTCCATTTCAGAAAAATCTCAAGATTTTCCCTAAACCATGCACACATAAATAGAGATTTTAAGTTTTCCCTTTTAATTTGTTTCACATGTCTATGTTAATAGTGCAATTATTAACATTAAGTCTAGAAAGGAAGTATCCTTCATTTTGAAAAGTGTGACTTACTTGGTAATCAGCTGGTCTAACATACTCTGTCTTCGATCAATTTCTCTCTCAGTTCTACAGATTAGTTAAGGAGCCACATTGCATTACCAACAGCAATTTATTACTTTTATTTAACCCTAAACTACCAGAAGTGATTAACTTGTAACTTTTCCGATAATTTCCACATATTATTCAGCTAACATGTAATGAGAATACTCAAACTTATCAGTTAGATGTTGTTACCTTGATCTAACCACCAATTCATGTGACAAATTTACAAGGAGATGTGTAGCAGCTGCAGGGGAGAATTAATAATCAGATCAGGGGTGTTAAAGGGCTAAAAAAAGGTAAGACTTGAAAATTAAAAATAAACCAAGATAACTGTCATTAACCAATATATTTGTCCATTCTAAGTGCCTGTTTGCCAGATAATGTTTCAGGGTTGAAAGGAGAAATTGCATGTTCCCTACTGCTCATGGTTTAATATATACATAAATAAATCCACTTTATTTTAGCCCAATAATGGTTAAAGCTGGTGCTTATGGGGTTGTGCATCTTACAATAATTTACAAGTCACTGAAATACTGAATACTAAATACTGAAGCCATTAAAATATATAAAATCGTCATTACTAAAATCATTGGTTGAGACAGATGTCGCTTTGAAATGAAAGTCTCTTAGGTTGTGAATCTTACTAAGTTAAGAATCTATAGTCCATCATTTAGCTTGGGTAACATCCAGATGTTCAAATGTAAATGTATTCCAGAGAATAACACCCCTATAACCAATAGACTGTTCTAAGAAGCAAGACTAAAACCTTGGAACAACAATTATGTCTGATCCTCTTAACGAGTATTTGGTATTTCCCTTGGTAACAATTTCCTCACTTAGTTGTACAAGTAATCTTTTGTTGTAGACATCATACATCAGCTTAATCCTTAAACTCCCATAAGTGACCAAGACAGAATTTCTTCTCACTATATCAATACAATGTTAAGCAGGCAAGTCATGAGAATAAAGAAAAATATCAATTGGGGATCACAAGTTGATCCAATATCAAATTCTCCAAACTAACATCACAAGAACTGTGTGGCAGACAATAAGGAGAATTGCTGATGAGATCTTGGGAGTTCAAGGGTTAAACAGTTTGGTCTTGCAGATGTAAGCTAAGGAATGCCATTTGGCTATCTTTAGAGAGTGTTGAATCCTAAGTTAACCCTTTAATTCCCAGGAGTGATTAACATGTAACTTCTCCCCATAATATCCATTCCTTATCCAGCAAAGAGATAATGAGAATTCTCAAACTTATCAGGTACAGGTCTGTCTTAATCTAACACCAGATTCTCATAACTAAGTTACAGGGAAATGTGTCACAGCTAGGGGGGGAGAATTAACAATCAGATCTTGGGAGTGAAAGGGTTAAAGATTAACTTCATAGTTAGTAGTGAATTGAACTTAATTACCTCAATTAAGTTGAGAGTTAATGGTGAAATTAAACTTTATGCTGACAGAAGGATACACATGATAAGAAGATGAGGCTCGTAAAAGTGATTGTTTTAAGTTGTTGAGATCCCTTGAAAAGGTCTTTAACATAATCCTTACATCAGACTGGACCTGCCAAATTAAACAAACACATTTTGTGTAGAGCAGTGACTAACAGAAGGCAATTACAGCTGTATGCTGGACAATTGTATTTGAATGAAAATAATCAACAGTTGTCATAGTTTTATTGTCATAAAATGTCTATGTCCCACATAAATCACCTTGTTATAATTCCCTCCATTTCGCCTTCTTTGATTTCTCTCATTAATCTTCTCCATAATATCCTGCCCATTCTTCTCAACTGTTTTAAATTCACTCAACCTGTTAAAGGAACAAAACTTTGTCAAAGAAATCCCTCAAAAAAGAAACAAAAAGAGCTCTTCTCAATATTCTAGAAACTAAAAGATTCCTATATGGAGCCTGATGAGATAATACTAAAATTCAAACACAGCAAAATTGAATCAAATTAAACCAGTTCTACAATATTTTTCGTACACTTAGAAACGCTAGGACTTTTTCTCCTTTACCATGAACATCTGCCATTTTCCTTTTCTTCTTTTTTGCTTATCTTTTTGTCCTTTTATGTTATATTTTTTCATTTCCGTTTTATTTCCAGTGTAATTAAATTAAAACAGGAAAAAAAATAAATAAATAAACAAATTTGGTCCGCCTCGATAAGCATTTGCTATCCGTGGGTCAAAGGAATATCTTGTAATATGTAAGAAAATTAAAAATAAGTGTAAAGTGTAAAATTGTAAAGAAAAGAAGTAAACCACTAAGTTTGAAGACCTTTATGGCTGAACACAAATAAAAGAACCAGCAGTCTTTTCAAAACATCCTTAGGAATTGTGGCATAGAACTGTAAAGGAAGTTTAAAATGAAAATAGAACTTACGCGATCACATGATCCAACTTTCTACTGAATTGAGTTGATAGTATCGAAAATCTGTAACAAAATTCTTACCAACGACTAAAAGAGCACTAGTATAGCATCCAGTGTCTTTTGAAGATCGCTTCAAAGACAATACATTTTTTGATCATGTTGCAAACCTCAAAACGGTGGTGTAAAGCTAAACACAGTCGAGAAAAATGAAGGAACTTCCGTTCAGAATGGGACATAATTCAGGATAAATTAGTGAGCCATTGTAGTCTTAGTATCTCAGATAACCAAGATATCCTCACAATATGTACAAAAAAGGTTTTGTATCAAACAGCTATCACAAGTAAGTTTTTAAAGGAGATATTTGTTGGAAAAATAGCGAAAGTACTTCCACCTTACCAGGTATCTTGAGGCGCCATCTTGGATTAGACTCTACATGTATGTGGTTAGTTCCCAGGCTTTCTTTAAACAGGAAGTAAATATAGGTATGTAGTGCGTGCGAATGGATAACGAGCTCAAACATTCAAAGTTTCGAGTTTATTACTTCACACTGTTTACAGAAAAAATAACTTAACATAACGGACCAAGATCAAGAATCACCAAGCGCTGGTTCCGTTACTCCATCACATCAAAGCGATACAATTTAGCCATGCAGAGAAGACAGTTCTTGATGTAATTTTTCTTTAATCGTTAAAACGGAAATATATATTGGCCAATTATATTAGAGTATGATGGGGGCTCTATAGAAAACTGACTTCCGTAATGAGGGGGAATCAATAGAATACTACTGAGCCTAAGAGGAGGTTCAAGTAAATTTTATTTTATTATTATTTTTTAAATCATTTTTATTTGGTAAGGAGAAATTCTGTCTTGGTCACTCGTGGGAGTTAAAGGGTTAATCTGAACAAAGTTAAAACGTAATGTGGAGTCAATAAACATCATAAAGTCGGAGCGGTAATTACGGCTTGTTGTTTTGCAGCATTTGTTGCCGCTGGGAATCGAGATTATTCTCGTCCACTGAATGTACATGCTCATTGACAGAATAGATCAAACCTTCAACATTCAACACGTTATAATTTCGGAGAAAATACGACGAAACAAAGCCTCGTTTTAACTCTTCCAGCAATCTGACAAGTATATGTAGCACCCAGTTTCCGACAGTCTGCCAACTCCAACCTGACGTCACTTTACGATTCTCGATTTCTCGAAAAAAGATCATCTTGATCAGATAAGAGTTGATAAGCCCATCATACAACCGTAATTTATGTAGAGTTTCTGATAGCATATGCAGTTCATCAGTGTTAGCCCGAGTTGCATTTTCGTGAAATAACACGTCCAGATCTGGACATTGCTTGAGAGACTTGCATATTGTATAACAAGCGCGTGCGGGGCTTGTTAGTTTGCTTATGATCTGTTTCTCGGCCATGGAAGTCGAAATTCGCCAATACAGGGAAGCAGACGGACTGTTCTGAATTGTTGGCGAAACTTTGGGTATGACATGGTAGTATTCAAATCCTTTTTCTGCAGGTACAAGGGCACTGTTAGGCCAACCGATGATTTCTATTGTAGGAATAAGATCGACTGTTACTATCATCCACTTAAAGTGACATCCACGCCACAGGAAGAACAACCGCGACCCGGGCTTAGTCTGAGAGTTATCCACAGTAACACCAACGCTGTTCCGGCCGCTATTGTAGTTTCGAAGCTTGTGTAATCGAGTGGACATTGCAGTGAGGTCAGCTTCCTCGGAGTGTCTGTCAAAAAGGGAATGAAAGTGGATATGTAGCCTCTCTGCAATCAGATAACCAGCTTCATCCAGGAAATCATTCCACAAGTCTTCCTCTCGGTCGTTTATACGTATTTTCAAATATCCAGGGGGATCATTGGGACACTCGCAAACATAACATGCTTTCGAAAGTTCTGTAAGAATGCACATATAATCAACCTCATCGGGTTCGCCAACCTTAGTGTTTTCCACAGTGCTGCCCGCTTGTACAAGCTTGTAAGTGAACTTTGGATGCACCCGAACCATGCCTCCTAGAGCAGTTTCGATATAAAACCTGATGTCCTGTTCGACTAACTCCACTTCCGGTGTCCGCTCGACTAGTCCCAAACCCTCAGTCTCGTTCAATCGGATGAGCAAAGAGCTTAAAGAAGCGTTCTCTGTCACACCACTGGTGAAGAGTGGGTCATAATTCATTTCGAAATGCAAATACCTTTCAACTTGAGACTTTCCAAAATCATCTACGACGTTTTCAAAACAAGGACTGTCCATATTTTCCACACGACCATTCAACGTCTCTCTCGATTCTTTACTTGGATATTGCAGCAAAACGTTTTCCGGGGAGATCGGCACTTCTGAATTGGTTATGTATCTCCGTTTCTTCATATAGAATTTTGCCGAGAGGCCCGCGTTGTCTAGGATAGCAGAGCAAGCCCCAAGCGAGAGTAGAGCTTTCACCACAGCCCTACGATGGTGGTAAGAGGCGTAGTGTAAGGGAGTAGCCCCATGTTGGTCTCTTGCATCCACACGTGCCCCTCCTTGCTTGATCAAGTCGACGCAGATCTTACTGTCGCCGAGTTCGGCTGCTATGTGGAGAGGAGTAATTCCACTTTTGTCTGGAATGTCCACATTTGCACCACCCGAAATCAAAAGCAAAAGAGTCTTCCTAACGCAATCTTCTTTTTGTGACCCTTCTGAGGCAGCTATTGCGTGAAACAGCGGAGTCTGACGGTCTACATCCTGTTTATTCGGGTCTGCTCCCCCTTTTAGAAGGATCTGCAGGCAATCCAACCTGTATTTACTGGCCGCATAGTGAAGAGCAGTCCTTCCCCACTTGTTGGGAAGGTCGACTTTTGCTCCGAACTTTATTAACAGCGCTAAAATATCTGCGTTCCCATTCTCCGAGACGTAATGAAGTGCAGTGCGTCCGCGCCTTGTCTGCACGTCTACTTTCGTACCGGAGAGAATCAGTTGTTCCACATCTCGTCTGCAACCCAGGGCAGCTGCCCGATGAAGTGGAATTCCTTTGTTACCTTCATGGCCGAGACTCATCGAAAAAAAAATTTTAAAACCGTACTAATGTGAACGACGCGAGGTACCTAACATCTTAACTCAAGCATGAAATAAGTATTATATCGTCTGGCCATAACTTCCGTTTGTGTTGTGCCATCATCTTGGTTGATGGATTCCTAAAAGCTAGTACCTGAAAGAGATGGTTAAACTATCAAAAGTCTCATTTTGGCGGAAGGGCAGTTAAGCCCAATAAATACTTGGAAAAATGTTTAAAAGTCACCCCTAATTCGATAAGTTCTAGCCCCTTCGCTAGCTTGATCTACGTCGAATTATTAAAAATTACTCTTCAAAAGATCAAGCGAACGAATCATTCGACTTGGATCGGATCCAAGTCAAATTATTCGTTCGCTTGATCCAAGTTGAATCAATCGCGAGTTAAAACACTTTCCTCGAAATCCAAGTCGAATTATTCGTGATTTTAAGGGTTTATTGGTCGTTTAACGTATATAGAAATCTTTACACCACTTATACTTGTTCTAAGGTTATCGGTTTTTTACTAATTAACTTGTAGAATCGCGAACCACCTTTAGTTCAGTCACGATTAACAGCGGTTTACACTCAAGTAAAACGATTTTCTGTTATTTTTTACTTTTGAAACTAGGTAGAATTAAAGACAGTATAAATATCCGCATGCGGCAAAATTCGTTGAATCAACAGCCTAAGCAAAAACAAAAGGTATTTCAGCAACGGGTCACGCGAAGCTCGTCTTTTTATTCCTAAATTTGAATTTCAAATTGGAAAATCTTCCTCGCTTACCTCACCTGTATAGAAGCCGACTTCGATGCAAAAATTGCGGAAGATAGGGCCAAACGCAGCTTGTAAAATCCACTTCAGTACAATTCGGCACCGTTAGGAATTTCATACCTAAGCCAGGCTAACTTGTTTTGCGGGAATACATGTACTCAAGTTTCTGTATCTCGGATTTCAAATCTTCCAGTCTTGAGTTTCGATTCGATTTCAAATCTTGAGTTTCCTGGAAACGGAGGAATTGATGTCAAAGATGACAATGATGACGGTGCTCTTCAATACCACAGGCTACCCATTCCTTGTGTGTTGGTTACAGGCCTCACTCAAAACCTCATAGACATGGTCAGGAGCACATTAATGGCTCCTGACATGGACTTATATTATAGATACTGAAGAACCAAAGCGACTGATTCGAAAACACGTGTAAGCAAACGGCAAGTCTACTCTCAGTTGTTCATGTAATAATGTGGCAGGCCTCAAAGATATACAATGTCGAAGTTTCAAAACAGTCTAAATGTAAATTATTAATGGTGTGTGATAAATGACCCATCAAAAGACTCTCATTCATCCCATTTACACTAAAAAGCCCTATGTCAACTATTATTTGTGTTCATTTGTCAAGCTGATACAGTCGGTTGAATATCGCATGAACATTTGTGTTGTTATTAAAGAAGGGTACACAGATTTGCATTCTTATATAGTCATTTGAATACATATGTTAAAGTATAGGGAAATTAAGGTATTTTCAATGATTTTAATCATCCATGTATTCACTAATAACAATATATTACCAGTATCATGTATCTGTTATACTTATCCACACAGAAATTTTCAAAACCCTAGTAAGAAATACCCACTTATCTCTTTACACCCTGATATCAGTATGCATATTCTCTACACTGTTCTTTATACATTTCTCAGCATCCTGACAATGAGAATTTGTTTAACAATCAAGAGCTTCATTAGTTGGTGATCATTTCCTTTATTCTCATGACCGCAATGTGCAATTCAGGGGTGATATTGTAAGGAGAAATTAGATGCTGGTCACTCTTAGGGGTTAAAGGGTTAGGTATGATTTTCAGCACCTTGTTCAATGTTTTACTGTAATTCTAAAATCAGATTATAATGTTTGATTTTGGGACCTTCCCTGCACTTTAGGAGGCTTCCATCAAACAAACTCAATTCCCACATTTGATTGGTGCAAGCAATACACATTACCCCAATGCCACTATGCAATTAGTGCAACATTTTTCCTATGCTGAAATACATACTCTTTTGTGGAAAAATACCCCAAGAGAGAAATAACACTTTGTTGACAATTTCTTTTATTGATAAGGATTTAGAGAGCAACAATAAAAATAACAACAGAGAAGTGTACAGAGTTTTATATCAAAAGTTTTTCGATTGACTGCTGAAGTGACTGAATCTGTGGTTTAAGCTGAGATCCTTCATTGATAGTGACTGCAGTTGCTATGACAGGGCGTGACACTCCACATGCTCTACCAAGAGCCTGCTTGGAACGAACAAATACATAAGGCACATTCTGAAAAGCAAAAATGAAGCAAGTTGTCACTGTTTTTTTTAATTTTCATTTTTTATCTAACCCTTTACACACTAACATCAGTTTGCATATTCTCTATACTGATCTCTATACAGTTCCTAAGACACTGACAAGAAGAATTTGTTCAAGAATAAGGAGCTTCTCTTGTTGGTGATCGTTTCCTTTATTCTCGAGACCTTAATGTGTGATTCAGGGGTGATATTGTAAGGAGAAATTAGATGGTAGTCTCTCTTAGGGGTCCAAAGGTTAACCACCATGATGACTTGAAGTGTGGAGAAATCTGACTTGAACTTTCAACCAATCACAATTATTATGGTTCAGTTGATTGGCATTGTATAAATGGGCTCATCCTAACTTGTTTCAACCTAAAATTCTGTTCAATTTTACGGAGTAGTCAGGGCAAAGAAGGCTACTGATTTTAACACACAAGTATAAAAATTGTCTCAAATTGGAAAAAGGTTTTGTATCATCCAAGCATCCTTTTTCTGAATGCCACTGCAGAATAAAAACTTACCTATTTTTTATTACAAAAATGTTCTTTAGAGTTTTTGCTATAATGTTTCACCGTACCTGTAATTATGCATGCTTAACAACACTTTCATAAACTTCTTTACCTTATCTTCACACAAGAGGGGAAGGTGAAGCAATATTTCTAGTGGTTCTGTATCTGCTGCCATAACAATAAACTCAGCAATACCACGGTTGAGGCACTTGGTGGCTAAAAGAAAGAGTGAATATCTAAATGCACACAAACAACAAGTGGTGACATTTCATGAACATCATTACTGTATTTCCTTGAATAGGGGCATATGTTCTAATGACCACCATTCCCTGAGTTAGCACCCACCCCTCAGGCCACAATGTGAAACATAGCCCTTCTTCAATAAGAGCCTACCTCCTCCCTTACTTTCTTAAAAAGTAGGGATACAAGGAAGACCTGTTTCTATTGCTACTTCATTAATAACTTTTCAAGCTTCAACTACAAGGAAATCAGTACCGGAAAATGGTTACTTCTCCATGAAGTTCCCTTAACCCTTTGAATCCCAATATCAGATTGTTAATTCTCTCCTCTAGCTGCTACACATTTCTTTGTACGTTAGTTACAATAATTTTTTGTTTGATCATGATAACAACTTCTGCGGTACCGCTCAAAGGTAAGTTGGCAGTCCCTCGAACCTCGATACTCGATAACTTCGAGGATCGAGGCTTGAGATGAGTTTCAAGACGTTCCAGTCGAGTATTGAGACCCTCGGTTCGAGACCCTCGAAGCCGGGAAACAAAGGAGTTTTCGCGCGATTACTTTTTCACACGATTTGAAGTTCCTTACCTTTAAGCTAAACCATGGATTGAAAATCCGTATAGCGTGCATCGTTTCCGATAGGGCGAAACTTTGCTCGAAGTACAATACACGTGTAGTTCTGTGATTATTTATTTTTTTGCTGTGTGCGTGACCCTCTTCGTTACCTCGAGCGAAGCTTTGCTCGAAATTCAAGTGTAGTTCTGATTTTTTTGGACAACAACCACGTAGATATTATTATCTATACTGTATGCGTAACCCTCTTTGTTATCTCGCGCCTGATCGTTATTATTTATCACGATGTTGAAAAGCGTCTTTACTACTCCGCCATGTCCGAAATTTCCTTTCTTTACACATCTCCAGTTTCATCGTCTAACACAGTTTTCAGGTTTCCTAGTTTTACTTTATGAAGTTTGACACTAGAGCTTGATGCTGATCGGAAAAAAAGAAAACAAAATACTGGTTTATGCCTCTTTTGGACGCGAGACTGTGACGAGACGATGGCGTCAAGTCGACTTTTTTAGTTTACACTTTGTTAAATGATTTTTTGTCTTAGTAGATAAATGTATTTTTTGATTACTGTTCTGATATAATTTTTCTCATTCGTCAGAGAAGAAGCTTCATCGGCCGGGTTCCTCTTACTTTGGAATGGATATTTGTGTGTAGGGGTCACACAAACCAATTTATAGTACATGTAAAGCCGGTGACACACCTGGCGATTTTATTCGCCGGTCGCGGCGATCGGCAAAAATAGCCATGTGTCGCCAGCTTAACTTACTAACATCGCATGTTGCCGTGGTTTTCAATATTCGCTCTAATATTATCTGCAATCAGTAAGAAACGTCGTTAAAAGGATAAAAGGAATCAAATTATCATCGAATGATTAGATGATCGCTTCAGTGGAAATATGTTTGATTACACTTTTATCTGTCGGTTGATTATTCTGAGATCGAAGAAAACTTCCGGCGCTCGTAATCTCAAAGTTTATATCTTCCAAAATTAATTTTTGTAGACGTAAATATAAATGTAACGCATGCTTTATTCAATATCATCAACACTAAAATTGAGCTTGACAGGAGCTCGAGTCTTTCGCGATATGAAAATATTTGCATGTTGTCTGCGGGCTGTCCGTGTGTTAAAAGAGGAGCCGCGTGTCAAGCGCTTTGTCCTTCGCCATTGTTTTGCATGCAATAATTAAATCGTTTTCTCTATATCCTCGAAAAGTTCTACGAGTATCTCGATCCTCGATAGTTTCGGGTGTTAAGGATCGAGTATCCAGTCGAGACTGTCAACCTACCTTTGAGCGGCTCATTCTATTTTGCGAAACGAAACGAAACAAAACCAGGCGAGATATAAAAATAAAACAAAGAAATAATGTAGATATATTTTGTAAGAAGTTAAAGATAACTTTCACGAGGATTTTGGAGTAATCGTTAATTATAAACAAGAAGGATTTTTATTCATTTCGCAATGTAGTAGTTTGAGAGGAGTTACTATTTTTCGAAATCGATTAATAGTCATTTCGCAAAATAGTATCTCTTTTAAAATTACTATTTTGCGAAATATACCTTAATACGGTTTCAGAAATAAGAGAAGACCAATCTGGAATCGTTGGGACTAAATGAAATAGTCTGGATATTAGAGGTTCCGGAAAATCGAGAATATGAATATTTATGAGGAACGAAAACTGATTAAATCAAGAAATGGACATTTAATCATGAAACAAAACATTTACAAATCAAGGACATGATGATCGTGAATAACCCGCTGTGTAGCTTGTTTATCTTGCATACCGCGCAAAACGAATCAATAGAGCGTGAAATCTCACTTAGCAACAAAACAACTCTAAACCAATCAGATCTCATTTGAATATTCTTCATTAGTTACAACGCGTGCCAGTGCTGCTTTTGCTTTTTGAAAGTGAAACTGACATGCCTTTACTTCACTTTTCAACGCTATAGTTTTAAAGAATATGGCTACGGATCTTAATCATAACTAATAAATATTCATGACAAAATTGGGATCAGAGTATAAGTCCGGATAATCGAGAAATCCGGATAATTGAGGTCTGGATAAGCAAGGTTCAGCTATACCTGTGTGCTGGATTATGGATGGATATTATGGGGAGAAGTTACATGTTAATCACTACTAGGAGTTAAAGGATAAAGTTATTTCTATCTGCATTTGTTCGAAGGGTACCTTCATGTGTATTATCTGTTCTTTTGCTGCTAACTTAACAAGTGCACCCCTTCATCAAGCACCCTCCCTCTGATAAGCATTCCCCCTTTTTGCCAACATTTTTTTTTTGGGAAATGTGGCATCTCTACAACGCTATGGCTTCAGCAATTGGTTGCAATAGGAAATAACTGAATTTTAGTATGCTTACAAACGGCATTTGGTCACACACTCAACCACATCTCATGTAAATCATTACCTTCATTAGCTCCCTTCCTGAGCTGTTTGTATGAGGAAGCTTGCTGAAGGAGATCAAGGATGGTCACCGTCAGTTGTGGATCAGCCAATGGGAAGGCCTTTGGGTTAACTTCATCGTTTGCCTAAAGATCATTCACACCAAAGTCAACTTCATAATAAAGAAACCATTAAATCTCTATCTACATTTTACTGCTGTCCATCATTGAAGAGCCAGGACCTGGTTGTTTATGGGGTGGATAATAGCCCCTAGATAAATCTATCTGGTGGATAATGCAGTATATATGGTTAACACTTGTCTGCTGGACAGTGATTTATATTTTGAATAGCATCATCCACCCTTTAAACAGCTAAGCCCTGATCAGTATTTTTTACAAATTTGTAGTAATAATTATAATAACAATAATAAAAATAATAAACATGAAAAAATTACACACCTCTGACTTGCTGAAAACAAATGCGTTTTTCATTTAACACAAGGGCAAAGTTACAACACGTGTGCAAAGCTGTATCCCAAGTGCAAATAATAGCATGTGCACACTGTCAAAACTTTGTCTGTCTCAACTTTCCATACTGATTTTTCCATGTAAATGATTAACAAATAACAACATGCTTTCTCCACCAATTTGGTGTAATAAGCACTCATAAATTTTTCAAAGACTACAAATTGCACTCACCCTGCAGGGTTGTGCAATTGTGTTGTCTTTGAAAATTTCACTCATGCTTATTAACACCAAACTGTAGAGGAAATCATGTTACTACATATACCAATCACAATTGGATTCCTATTAGTCTGTAATACTTAAAGTGACTATGAAAATCGTATGACTGCAAAGTGGGATTCTGATTTGTTGATCATGAACAACAAAGAATTGCAAAACACCATGACAATGTATCAAACCAAAAAAAAATTGAATGAACAAAACACCACAAAAACATTTCCCCACATGAACATCAAACGAATAGTTTATGAAATTACGGGTTCACCAACAACTGATGTGAACTGTCCAATAACAGAGGCATGGTACGTAACATTAGGTTTAGCTGTCCAATTGCAAGCATGAAAGGCACCAATCTAACAGTGCTGAAATCAAGTTGCTGAACTTTAATATAAGTTGCTGAATGTTCACGTAGTTAAAGTTCTTAAGATTTGTGTAAGCTTAAACATCAAAATCGCCCAATTTGTAGATGCTAGTAGATCAATGGATGTCAGTTCGAAGAGTTGTGTCGAAAGTACAAATCGTTTTTTTATGATCCGGCCAAACGTTATATAAACACATCACAATCACATTTGTAACATCTCACCATGTTATGTTCCTGATTTAAGGCCCTCTCGGCAGATTTGAGCTTCACTGAGGACTAATCAGACAACCCGCTAAGTTCCGAAGAAGAGAAAGGATTATTACCACGTGGATATGTGTAACCACGCTCGCAAGGGCTATAGGGAAATATTATGGAAAGATTAAGTCACTGCGGAAAATCGATATCGGTTTTTCAAGTGAAATTTAACGTGGAATTCACCCGTCAAGCAGCGAATTTTCCTTGAATCGCATAAGTGAATAAAAATAAGAAAAAAAAAAGAAAACTGTAATAATATTGTTTGTTTTTATCCTAAGCGCGCGCCCCAAAAAGCCATTTCAAAGTCAACTGTTAGAACTGTCATTACGTTAGCGAATAGGAAGCAAGGTCAGTCGTACACGTTTGAATCTTCGACAAATTTATTTGTACCTTGTGCTTGTTTTTACATTTGTTCTCAAACTTTTTGAACAAGCTTCATTCTATCCTAAGGATAATAGTGGTATTTCACTGAATTTATAAGCCGTTTATCTTTAACATCTTTTTTCTCAAATTTCCTAATCATTTGCTTGAGAAGGAAACTAATTTATTCCTTTTACCTCTTTGGTGGTAAAACTGAAAGAAATGAAGTGTCCATGCGAAAGCACTGAAAGTTTAACATCGCGATTAAAGGTATTTATTTCTTCTTCTGTATGTAGGAACCTCTGACTCACTTTGAAAAACGCTTTTGTTTGTTTTTTACTCCTCAAAAGGTGACAATGGTTTTGAAAACACTTTAAAATGACATAGCAGAAAACATTGGTACAATTTGACGATAGTTGTTATGTTTACGTAGATGCGAAACGATATCACTTAATGCACAAGTGCAATTCCACGCTTAATCATAACCATTACAATTTCCTCAAATGTGATTGGTGCATCAGCTGCTTCATTTTTCACTAATCGCTCTGTTCAGTTGTAATCGGACAGTTGACTGTAATCGGACACCTGTCATCGGACAGTTGAAGCAGCCAATCATACTAAGTCCATTCAGCTAAATCCACCAATCACAGAATTGATCACAATAACCATAACAAAAACCACTTACACTGAAAAAAAACCTAAAAAATTTCAAAATTTTTTGCTTCAGACATTGTCCTTACTGAAGATGTTTGTCCTAAATGTATTTGTTTTCAGAAATTGTTATGATTATGATTAATTCGTGCCAGGACTTCGTGTCATCCAATTCGGTCTCTAATCATACGAGTGATTAGCAAAATCGGACTTCACTCGGTCCTATTACCATTATATATTTGTTTTTTTTTTGTACCTTATGAATATTTTACCGTGTATAGATAATAATTAAATAAAATAAACTACATCACCGACAAGATGTGATACTTAGTCATCTCGAACTCGCCCGAGCACGAAACCGTTTCGAAGTAGTAACCCATGGGGAGCCATTTGTGCCAAAAATATAAACAGCTATTGATAAAACTAAATCGTTGGTGCTAAAATATCAATCGCTGGTGATAAAAAATCAATCGTTAGAGCTAGATTTTTTATCGATTCTTACTTGAACCAGTCTCTCGCTTGCTAATCTTGCTTAGGGAAAGCGCCTTTTTGTCTTTGGGGGGGAAGGGGGGAGGGGGGCTTCACGAATTCAACTTTCCCGCCCTTTAACTTTCCGAAAAGAATTTCTCTGGTCTGTTATTCAACAGTACCTACAATATGTTTACCTTACGATTGAATGACATTTTGTCCCAATTTAGGCCTTGGTGGAGATGTCAACAGTCAAATTGTTTTGTGTGAACACACAAGGCCAAAGTAAAGCAGTTTTGTGGCCGTTAAAAAAGAGACAAAGCCATAGCGATTATTCTTGTCAGTAGGAGCAGGTGAAAACAAGGAAATGAGCCAATCATTCCGATGTTGACGAGCGAGTTGGCCATGTCTGAATTTACTTCTTCTCAGTTCATTGACGATACAGAGAACCAGTCTAACTCAAGCCAACGCACATATTTTATCCTCATTTGAAAACTGATTTATTTTCTTGCAATTGAGTGCAAGACAAACACACTGAGCATAATTTAATGGAGTAAACTTGTCCAATTTAGCTTTGCCCAGTTGCAAATTTATCCATAGTTTATGCCAATCTCGAGCCCAGGGTAGCTCCTTGTCAGCGATGTAGTTGCCAAATAATGACCTCAAGGGAGAATCGCAATCTCGAGTCCAGGGTCATTTTGGCTCCTTGTCAGCGGTATGGTTGCAAATTATGATATCATGTGGGTAAGTACGTTATGTATGAGGAATTATCACCCCCAATACATATTATGTCCTATACTTTGCATACATATAATGTCCTAATATTCCCCATACATGACATACCTCGGATTTCAAAGCGACCATACCGCTGACAAGGAGCCAAAATGACCCTGGGCACGAGACTGACGATTTCGATTCTCCAGAGGTCATTATTTGGCGACCATACCGCTGACAAAATGACCCTGGGTTCCAGATTGAGTTTTTACAAAACAGTGTTACAGTAAGTATATTACGATCTAGTGTTGAGTCTTCACGAGGAAACAGCCAGAAAAAGTCGCGCCGGAATGTTAAAGTCGTGCCGGAATGTTTAAGTCGTTCTGAAATGTTGAGTCGTACAGGAAAGTTGAAGTCGTGAAAAAAAAAGTTTATGAGAAATACGGGATGGCACTAACTGGGCTCCGTAAAAGATGGACCGGCACGGACTTCCTGTTTCCTTACTCGGAACTGGTTAGATCAAATGACCACAAAAAACCGTATAATATTAAGCCAAGCATTAATAATTATTCGATCTAAAAGAAATACATTTATAATTCGCAATTAGAACAAGCGCAAATCAAGTCTTTATCTTGTAACTAAATTCAAAAACTTCAATATAAACTCACTTCTGTGGCGGGTCGTTACAACAGTCTCACTTTACGGGTTAGCAGATTCTCCAGGTAAGCGGATTTAGAAACAGAGAAACGATAACAAAATAATTTACTTCTTACTTCGATTCTTACTTCGATTCTGCTAAAAAACTGACCTAAAACATAATAATCTAACGCTTTTAAATCAATTTATTGAATTAATGTCAATCAAGATTCTTGTCATCGAATAAATCTGTCAACAAGAGGCAAGGCCTATTTATTAAACGAAACACTTCCCATGAGGCTTTTGTGGTCGCGTCGCATTATCGCCTCTAAATTATATTTTTCCTCTCACAATCCAAGCATTTTCCTGAGACGGAGCGCTGGGATCGGTGCGTTATTCAATTTTCACGGACAAAACAAAGAACCACATCTGTTTCATGTCCAATCAAACTGGATGCCACCAGTTCAGCCTTCTATTGTCCTTGAGAGCTTCTTGGAAAATGTCAAAGCATAGCTTGCAGAGATCACCGAAACTAAGGCAAAAAATAAAGGGCGTAAGTTTCTAAAGAAACTGTGGTGCTGCGTCGGTGGGAGAGTATAGCAAGTATAGGCGATAGACGAAGGGCTAACGCTCGAAACATCAGCTTTTTTACCCTTAACGGTGGCTAATTTACGTTTTCAACTCAGTTGTTAACACTAAATTACCTGCTAAGCCAAAAAATAATTTGTCACGCAATGAGGTCACGGCTCTAAAAGAGTTGAAAAACAACTCTGCTTTACACCTCAAAAACAGCAGACAAAGGTACAACAACAGCCATCATGAATAAAACAGAAAAATTAGAAGAGGCCAAAGTGTAACCCGACAACAGAGTTGACTACAAACCTCTCAGAGCACCGATAGTAAACATGAAAACACGCCGGCAAGGGTTAATGGGATCATTGACCAAATGTATTGGGTCAAACACATTGATGACATGACTAAGAAACTCCCAATCCGCCTAGATTGAGAGTATCAATATTCTATACGCTCATGAAAATACACAAACCTATAGCGGTCGGTAGACCTATAATCTCAGGGTGTGACGGCCCTACTGAGAATTTCATCGTTAGTGGAGACAACTCTCCAGCCTATCTCGACAATCCTATATAAAGGACACCACTGTTTTTATCAACTTTTATGAAAAAACAAAGATAGGCAAAGATACTATTCTAGTACCAATGGACGTTTCTAGCTTGTTCACAAATACACCATAAGAAGAAGGAACGAATATAGAATGTGGAGCTTACAAGAAGTTCCACAACCGTAACGCACGGATCCCAACGCACAAGCTAAGGGAAATGCTTAGCTTAATTCTTGTAGAAAATTCGTTTCAATTCAATGAGGAGAACTACCTCGAAACACATGGAACCGCTAGGGGCACGAAAATGGCAGTGTAATTTGCCAATATTTTCATGGCGGAAACTGAAACGAAATAATCCAACAAAGCGAGACCAAGCCATTAGAACGAAAACGTTACAGAGATGACATTTGTTCCCTTTGGGATTGCGACAGCAAAGAGGTAGAACGGTTTATTAAACGAGCTAACTATTTCCACCCTACTATCAAATTCACGGCCGAAATATCAAGGAACCAAATCACTTTCTTCGATACCACAGTGTTTAAAGGAGAGAGATTCGCAACAGATTTCATATTGGACAACAAAACCCATTTTCCTTCCAATTTACGCACTTCGCCTCGTATCACACACTAGGCGTAAAATATGGTTTCATTAAAGGCGAAGCAGTAAGATTGCTTAGAACTAACTCTTCGAAAGAAACATTTGAAGAGGGCCTTTAAAATTAAAACAACGCCTCATAGCAAGAGGGTACCCAGAAAACATCATAGGAAGGTCTTTGCCCGAGGTCAACTTTGCCTTCAGACAATCGGCTCTTACACATATACAAAAGCGAAAAGGTCACGAACGTTTAGTGCGTTTTGTCACAACGTACCACCCGGCAGTTAAAAATTTAAAACAAATACTGATGAACCAGTGGAGTCTGATACACGATCAGCCGTTGCTGAAAAAAATTTTCACGAAACCTCCGATCATCTCTTACAAAAAAGGAAAATCCCTTAAAGACACGCTGGTGAGAGAAAAAATATAATTTGAAAACGATCACAAAAGCCACATTGGAAGTCTGTGCCGGTCTGTCTTTACCTTTATTCTCATTGCAATGTCCCTTATCAGATTTCAAGAAAATAAGCAGGATTTGATGGGTTCATCTTTGCTTAACAAGCGGGAGACTGGTTCAAATTAGAATCGGTAACAAATCGACATTTGCACGAAAGATAGAGTGTTATCACTTTCGATGAATATTTCAGCATTAACGATTTAGTTTTATCACTAGCGATTGATATTTCGTTCAGGCTGCCCCTTAGATAATATTTCGAAAAATGCAGGCCTCAAATACAACCAACCGCCACTTACTCCTCCTAAAGACGCACTTTGTGAGCGCAACAGTCGTTTGAGTGTAAAACCACCAATCCAGTAGTTCAACAAAATTTTTATTCTAATCACCATAATTTTGCAGCTTATAAAATAGAAATTATCGATAATTTTAGGATGTTTATCTCAGAGGCCTCACAAGAGTCCGTTTCAGCTTTCTCCGCCTTCACAGTACAACTTGGTTACCGAGAGTTGCGTGACAAGCCATGTAATTTGCTGCAAACACGGCAAACCCTCAACAGACTTGCACTTTTTATTCCAGTAACTAATCGACTAGTAAGTACATCACAAATATAAATGTTTACATTTAAAAGTTAGCTCTTCTTAGTAAACAGTCTCCTTTGCAGCATCGATAAGCTTGGTCACGCAACACTACTGCAGCGTAACACTCGCTGCAAACGAGACTAACCGTCATAAGGATTGTAAATATCAAAACTCCATGCACAATAATCTCATGAAAAACTACTATACTATAACACAAATCCTTGAATTTTACGTTAATAAAGATCAATAACGGCACACTGAAATCCGTGCCAACTATGTCAGATCGTCCCGGACACTTTGAAGTACCACTACCCCGGTCTCATATCCTTCCCGCGATCACTAAGATAAGGCTCTATTTTAAATTTCATTGAAAATAGTTCTCAGTTCTTTTATTTTAATTTGTCTAAAAACTTTACATGTTGATCTTTCTATCATGGCAATTTCCTCAAGTCAGAGGTAGAGAGCTGAACAGAAATCACAACTAAGAAAGACTTTGACAAAAGACACAAAGTATTCCAAAAATTTCAACTACGGAGATTTTGTGCTACGACCGAAAACACAAAGTTTCGTTCGCTTGATTAGCGTATTTTATTATGAGGCGATTTAGATACTCCAAAGCCACGGCAATGTGTAATACAGTTATTGTACTATGAAAGCTGATGGTGAACTATCTCACAAACAGAATATTTTCCTTACAAAAACTACCCAATTGAAACCAAATTTTAAATTAAAAAGAACTAGTCACGACTTTTGGAGATAAATTTAAGAATGAAAGAGAGACAATTGAAGCTGGATGAGGTAGTGGCTGAGGGGAGGGAGGGAGGGAGAGGGGGTGGATTCTATGATTCTGCGTCTGGTTCAGGTGCCATATCATTGTCCCCTACGTCGGCGGACCTATCTGCCCTGGTGGACTTTCTTCTTGGCTCTGGGGGAGTGGTGAATCCACTGCGAGTTGTTGCACCACCGCGGCCCCTGAGAAAAAGAGAGAGAGAGAGAGAGAAGCTCAGAATTGCATGCAACGGTCTTCGCGATGCGCAAACGTTGTTCAAGTCTAAAATCTTGCAAGAGTCCCATCCTTTCGTATCGGAGTTCAGGAAGTAGCGATTGCAGGATAGGCCAATAGTCAAATTGCGCAACTAAATTTGAAACTTGTTGCATTATCGAGTCCTTTCCAGAAGGTTTAACCTTTTAACTCCCGTGAGTGACCAAGACATAACTTCTCCTTACTGTATCTATACAATATCACGCAGACAAGTGATGACAATAAAAAAAAATATCTATTATGGGGTTACTAATTGATTCGATACCAATTTCTCCGAACTAACATAATGAGAATCATTGGACAGACAGTAAGGAGAATTACTAGTGAGATCGAATCACACGCTCAAGATGCGGTGAATCTTCGACTATTCACACCACCCATCTGTCCTTGCTCCTTGCTTGAAAGATTTTTGAACCTAAGGTTTCAAATTGTGGCAACAAAAAGGTCGGCACTCACCGGAGCCTATTCCGGAGACTTTGTACTTCGCGGGTCAATTCCTCGTTCGCTTCAATGTAGTCATCCAGTTCTCGTTGAATTTTGCGTTTGGCGGCATTGAGTCGAGTGTTCTCTTCCTCCGCCTCATCTACAGATCGCTTCAAGGTCTTCACACGAGTGTTTACCTTTTCCATCTGAAGGGACAAGGAGTCAAAAAAAAATATTCAAGATGAGGCTTTTGTATGTATTTTCCAATAGGATTCTTTTTAAAAAGAGCTTCTCAAAGAGGGAAAGATCGAGTGCGAGGTAGACCTCAAAGTAACCTTGGAAAAAATGATTGATGTCGCTATTTCTTTGAACGACCACAAAGATCTGATAGCACTCTTGTCATTTTGCAATTGGGAAAACGACGAACTCAAAATAACTTTCCCAAAGAGTAAAAGATGTATTACATAATTAAAGCATGTTGCAAAAAAGGCTTTTAACTCTTAGGGCGCAGATCATACGTCTCCTTAAAAGACAGTACAATTGAAAACTATTCCACCAGAGTAACTTGCTTCTCAAGACTTCACAAAGTTCTCTACATGTCCAAAACAGAGCTGACGATAAATCTTTGATTGAACGGTTTCTTAGCCGAATAAAAATTAAAAAAATGTTACTATAACACAAACCTGTTCTTTATATTGGTCAGCATGTCGTCTTTCCTCCTCTGCTTGCAACACTGCCTCTTTGTACTTCTTATCGAGCTTGCGGTTGTTCTTGGCCATGGTTGAACGCTCCCTGAAGCAGGGCACACATTATGATTAACCAAAATATGCCTCATATGTACATTGACATTTTCTATGCAATTTCCTCCCTGCGTATGACCCAGTTTGGATCAAGTCAGTATCTGAGCACCCACCCCTCCCCTAACCCAGCATTAACCCTAACTTGTTATCCGTTGACTGATGTTAGGAAGGGAAGGGGTAAGGGTGCAATTGCTCAGATATTGACATCGATCCCCCTGTAACATCACACCAGTTTATGAAAACCGTTTCGACGTTCACAGCCTTCTAGTTTAACGTAATTAACATAAATTGTTTAAAAATTTGTTGGAAAGAAACTAGGATCTAGTGAATGCGGAATGGCGAAGAGACAGAGAAAGACGCGGACACGTTTACCGTCCCTCCGCCTTAACCGTCCAGGCACCGTAATGGCAGCCTCAAAAGTGAGAAATAACTTTTGAAAAAATTAGAATAACTAAGCTGCCAAACAATTGTCGAAAATGATTCGTCTTTCCGAAACGTATTTCAGTATCCTCGTTTCCGTTCTTCCAACTCCACTTTTACACGCTAGAGGATCGCGGATCGAATATTGAGTAACTTTTTTCGTTACTTACTTGGACTCAGCATCAAGTTGTTCTTGCAATGTTGCTAATTTGTTCTCCAGTGCTTGCACGGTCATCCGATTGCGGGCGCGCGTCTGGCTTTCAAGCTCCGCTAGTTTTACCTTCATGTCCTTGTTCTGAAAGAATAACATAACAGAAATTAACAAAATAAATAAATAAGAAAGAAATTAATAAATAATGGAATAAATAAATGATTCTGTCTTTGGTTTCAAGGGAAATCAAGGGTAACAAAGGGGACACCGTTTACACTAAATATAGCGGAGAATCCACAAGGGGTAACGGGGCGATCGTTCGTCTCTCTTACCTGCTTCTCTAGCGTCAGCTTAGCGCTCTCCATTTTCTGTAATGCAGCTCGCTCAGAGTTCAAGTCTGTCTGGAATTGTTCCATCTGTTATTGTAATATAAAAATAATACACAATGAATTCAACTTGACTCAAGCAGCATTAAACAATTCCAGCTGGTCACAACTCTTCCCACAAACCTGCATGTTAGCCCGCTTGTATTTCTCCATCAGCAGTTCGTTCTGAGTTCTTTCCTCCTCGATTTCCTCTTCCAGTTGAGCGATGCGTGCATCTTGTTTGCGCTTCTCGTCGGCAGCAGAGCCCCTGGAACGTAAGCAAAAAAAGTTAAGCAACTGCAAGAGGAATCATGAAGAAATAAACAGTATGGTTTGATCAAGTTTTTCATTTACAATCCAAGCCAATCTTCTTTATTTGTTCCTCCTCAGTAGCTCATAGTCACTTTAGTCTTTTGCCATCTTTCACAACAAGTTTTATTCCTTTCTAGTTGAAGAAAACGCTGTGCGATGCAAACATTTTCCCTCACATTTTGTGTCATGGACAAACCAGGTAGAATTCGGGACGTTTGAAGTGACCTTTATTCAATTGCCTTTTGGTATTTCTCCTCTTTAGTTCTAACAAAAATTATTTAATTATTCACCTTCATTCTGTCCATATGCGCTAAATTGAGGGCGCCATTTTATCGAGTCGAAAAAAAAACACAATTATTCACCACGGTTACTCGAAATAAGTGTAAAGCCAGTAAGAACTCCAAGTACCGAAATCTAAGTAATCGGCCACGAGAGGAAAATTCGCAAGTAGCCTTAATCTTGCATCTGATGAGCTGATAGTGTCGCTACTTCTTCTGAGCAGTTTTAATGTTACCTGAGATGAGTTGAACTCGCTAGTTCTTCTGCTAACTCGTCTCTTTCCGATTCTAAACTCTTTCTGGCTCGTTCGGCAGCAGCAAGATCCTAGAAATCAGAAAGAACGATAACTCTTTTAACACTTGTTGCTATAATTGTTCCAACAAGAACACAAGTTTTAATTTTGTATGGGAAGAATGAAACACTCGTCTAAATCTAGTAAAACTTTCCTACAGATACTCGCAGTTTTCTGAATCTTTTTGTCCAATCACCAGACACGATGGAAACTCGCAAGCACCAAGGTCAGTAAAAAAGGTTATCTGGGCGACTTCAGCGGCGATAAAAGTTGTCTCAGATTAACTTTAGAGGAGTTCAAATTGGTCATGTTTCCCGGCACAACCCCGTACCTCTTGCATTTGTAAGTAGTCAGCCTCCAGCTGCTTGGCTTTCCTCTCGTTTTCTTTGGCTTGCTCAGATATCTCGTCTCTCGCTTGTCGGGCGTCGTCTAGATCTCGCTGAATATCCTTAACCTGCTGTTGGTATTTCTTCAGTTGACGGATGCCATCTTCCTTCACACGGTTGCTTGCGTCAAGTTGTTCTTCCAGATCAGCCATATCCATTTCGATCTTCTTCTTAGCGTTAGCAGCGCTAACTCTGCCCTTGCGCTCTTCATCCAGTTCGCTCTCAAGTTCACGGAGCTGGAAAAACCAAAGCACACGAATTATCATTGATATTTTCAACCTTAAACTTGCAAGATCCGAGTAGTAAACCTTCCACTCTGGCTGTTGGAGCACCGAAACCAAAGTAACCAAAACGATCAATAAATAGCCCTTACCTAATGAGAAATCAAAGTGAAAACTGGCACTCCGTCAGAAGCGCGGGAAAACGCGAGCGACAAGGTCACGATAGACCTCTTAACTTGGATATTTTGATTACCCATTCCAGGTCGCAAGGGAATTCCCTGCTTTATCTTTTGTAAATTATGCGTACATATGCGCGTGAATAAGAGGGAATTTGAAGGAAACAGTTCTCTAGAGCATGATCACATGAGCTGAAATGGGTAAACAAAACAGGCAAACTAAACAGGTCTATTGCTGTTAGTTTCTCATCCGATAGGTAAGAGGGAAGGAAATGTAAGTTTCTAGACCAATCACAGAGCAGAGTAAAGCAAAACCAAAGTAATTGAAAATTGCTTCATACATTTCTTCGTTAACTGCGTGAGGTAGTCTAGTGTTTTATCACGTTAAACCACCCCACCCACCCCTCCCATTTTAGGTCACAATGATCGTCATCGTTTTGTCTATTCTAGACATGTGAAGGAGTTACTTGTAATCACCTCTGGGAATGAAACGGTGAAAACATGGAACGGAGAACTAAGACAGCCAAAGGTTCTATCCGCAATTGAATTGATTACTGAAATAAATAAACCTTTTCAGGTCTTAAGATTTCAAAATGCAAGGCTAACCCGAAAGAATTTTAGTCATAATTGTGATTTTCGGTCATGAGTTATTATGATAGCAATGCCCACCTGTTTGAGTAACGCTTTCCTCTTCTCTTCGTTCTGCTCGTCCCTTGCAGCCAGTTCTCTATCAAACTGAGTCTTGGCGGCTTGCATGTTGACCTCCATCCTCAGCTTGGCATCCTCGGTGATCTGCAGCTCGTCCTCAAGTTCTTCGATCTGTTGTTTCTTCTCTTCGAGTTGAGCTTCTAACAACCGTTTAGCCTTCTCCAACTCGTGCACGTTTTTGCCGAAGTCATCTTTGCTTTCCATCATGGCTTCGAGTTCATTCTGTGCAGCCTTGCGGACTCTTTCAGTTTCTCCAAGCTTCTCTTGAAGCTCCTCCAATTCGTGCGTGAGAGAGATAACCTGGAAAAATAACAGCACACGAATGGTTTAAGAAGTAGTTCGTGAAACCGTGGCACACTTGTCAGACGCGATTGTGATACAGTTCGTTGCAGCGATAGAGAAAGCAAAGTAAAGCTTTAGTGAGACATTAACTCCAAATCACGCTGGTTTGGGGGACGTAAATATGATACATTGGCAGAGGATTCCAGCTTGCTGATCAGTTCTATTGTTCTGCTCACCTGCCCAATTTTTTGGTATTGTACAAAGAAATGAAAGTTTGATCACTGAAAGGACAACTGGAGACACATACCTTTGTTTCATTCTGTCTGGCGTCTCGTTCAGCGTTATCCCTTTCCATAGCGTTCTTCTCAGAAACGGCTTTCTCTTCTGCGAGCAACTGCAATATAGAAGAAAAGACACATTAACAATCTCTCTCTCAGATCAGATGAAAAACAACTAAGGATTTCTGTCTTATTTCCAAGTCCGTGGTCGTAACCCTAAATGGCAATCCTGCTGAGCGGTACTCTGAAGTACTTTCACGAGCTCAAAGCTTTGTTCTTTGAAAAGAATCTCTGGTTGCTTCAGGGCTCTGTTCTAGCGAGTTTGGACCGCCCAGTTCCTAAAACGCTTTTATCAGGGCAATACGAGTCATCCTATGACAAAACTTAGTCGCCTGTGGCATCCAGGCTCTGTATGCGCAAAGCAAACCTTGCACAATAAGACGTTGTTCATAAGTTTAAGCCTGTGGGTAAATCTTCGATACTTCACAGCTAGGATCAACGCTTCTTGGCACTTTTTTTTCCAATTTCGAATTTCTTCTTGTAGTTAACTCCATCATTAATCCTTCGTCTTCCACCCAAATCTGTATTCTTACAGTTACCTGCCAGTGGCGGAAAACAAAAGGTGTCAAACACCTCGCGAGCAATTCCAAGCTAAACCAACCTGATCAAACTTTCTCTGTTTCTTCTCCAGGGCACTGACTTGAGCCTTCTCCTTCTCCAAGTTGAGTTGCACATCGTCGACCTGTTTGAGAAATGGTAAAGGTTGTAATAAGCAATTCAATGTGTATTGGATGAAGTTGAGTCGATATCATGAACTGTCGAAATGAGATATGAGTTATCAGCCGAAGCCGAAGGCTGAGGCAGGTAACCCAGACACGAGGTTTGAAAATGCATGATATCATGCGAAAGCCGAACTTAATAATTGTATTAGTATACATTTTTTAAACAATCTGCAAAAGACATTTTCTGATTTTGCAAAAGTTCGAGAACAGTACAAGGACGAAGGGCTCGGAAACTAGAGAGACTTTGAACACGACAAGATAACTGCAATATCTACGGCAGCTGTTACATTATCATGTCAACTTCACACGCTATTGAATATTGATTGAATGCTCTCGACCAATCAGATTTTTCACAGCAAGTCTAATGTATAATAATCTTTATCGACTGTCGTTCATAGCCCCTCTACGAACCGATTTGTTGATCCAAGCCTACACTAATAACGCTGTTATAAAGCTAATTACTACGTCAGCTTGCCATCTATTCCAAGTAACCCTTCTAAGACCAGATTTTAAAATTCAAATCAACAGTAAAAGCAATATTGCTAAGCCTATCGCTGACCTCATCTTGCAACCTTTTCCTAGTTTTCTCCAGTTTGCTGTTATTGGCGCTTAGTTCATCTACACGTGCTTGTAGGGTTTCAACCTCTCGCGCCATTTTTTTCTTGGCCTGCTCGGCCTCTTCAAGAAGTGCGGAGCGATCATCCGCAAGTTTCTTTTGTTCTCCGACCTGAGAAGTGAAATTAAAATAAATAAATAAATAAATAAATAGCTAGGTTATTTAGCAATCCAAATTGCAACGGACAAAATTGAAACGGCATTTGAGCCACACATACATCCAATAATAAATCTTTAAACTTTTCCAAGAAATAATTCAGTAAAAGAAGATTCTTCATTCACTCACTTGCGCTTGAACTTGGGAGAGGTTCTTCTGAAGCGCGACCTTGGCGTCTTCTTCGTCGTCGAGTTGATCTTGCAGGCGATTTAATTCTGCATCAGAATCTTTGAGTTTATTGCTAAGTGCAAGTTTTTGGCGGGTTTCATCTGATAAAGATTCCTGAGAAAGAAAATATTTTCTTAGCATTACCACAAAAGTCAAGAAGTTTTTAGACAACTTGATATATATTTCTTGTCACCTTCCAAGTTGTTATAACTGACCAGTCACGATCACACCTAAGGAATAAACCAATCAAGCCACGTAACAGATCGGAGCCGAGCGCAGGAAACTTGCAACCGGTGACAAAGCGGAGAAATTTGATGCCAGTGACGTGCGCAATAGACTTACCACTGAGCCAACGCAATATCACGAACAGTAATCATGTTGCCCCTAATTTACTACCTTTTTTACTGTTTTATTTTTCATTTTCAGTACCAACGAGCAAGCTGAGAAAAACCACTTCGGAAACTCGTTCGGAACAAAGTAACGACATTTAATTGAATATGCAAACACGTTTTAGGGTTAAATTATAAAACGTGTTTACACAAAATGTACATTTGCTTCTCTTGGACAATCAGAAGTCGCGACAATAATCCCGGTTTTTACCTGTGTTTCTGCAAGTTGCGATTCAAGCATGGCCTTCGCTCTCTCTGCAGTTGAACACCTGGATTCAAGTTCCTCCACTTGAGTGTTTGCCGTTTCCATCTCTTTCTGTAATTTAACTTTGGCACTTTGGAGCTCACTGACGTGATGTTCATCATCGGTGAGCCGGGCGTTCGCCTCAGCGACTTGGTTTTCCAACACTTTCACTTTGCGTTCAGCCTCGGTCTTTCGACTGCTTAATTCCTCGACTTCGGATTTCAGTTGCGAGTTGCCTTCCTCTAAATGTGCCTTGGCTCTTTCAAGTTGAGCTTTGCCCTGAGAATATAACGGATGGAGAGAACCTTTAGCGAGTAAACCCTTTCACTCCCAAGATTTTACTATTAATTCTCTTTGTTGTCTTCCATTCAACTATTATTAAGTGAGTTTGGAGAATTTGGTATTGGATCAACTGTCACTCCTTCAATTGACTATTTTCTTTATTCTCATCACTTGTCTGCTTGATATTGTATTGATATTGTTGGGAGAAATTCTGCCTTGGTCACGCATGGGAGTTAAAAAGGTTAAAGGAAAAGAGTGGTAAGTAAACATGGTGGAGAAATTACGAAAGTACCTAAGACAACCACTGAGCGAGCATTTCGCGATTAATTATTTATTGGAATAAAGTCGTTGTGCGTTGATAGTATTAGGTGGTTCCCAAAAATTTCTGCGTGTAAAATTGAAGACTTTTGCGAGAGGAGAAAAGAAGTTGTCCAGGGTTTGCACCAAAACTTCTTCTTCCTTACGTTATGCTTAACCCTTTAACTCCCAGAAGTAATTAACATAAAACTTCTCCCTACAATATCCATACATTCTTCAGCAAACAGGTAATGAGAATATTCAAACTTATCAGGTAGAAGCTGCTATCTTGATCTAACACCAAGTTCTCATAACTAATTTACAAGGAAATGTGTAGCAGCTAGAGGGGAGAATTAACAATCAGATCTTGGGAGTTTAAGGGTTAAGCTTAGGAAAAAAACTTCTTGGTTCGTCCTTTGCTCTCAAACCTTGACCTCCTTTACGCACAATGGTTCAAGAATTCAAGACTCTCTACGAAACGTGTACCTCTAACTAGAATTTGTTTTGTTTTAGCCTCTCGGACCTGTTAGAAAGACTTCACCGTCTTCCGGCTCTGCTATGGCGATTATAAACAAAGAATGGAAATTCTTTGAAGAACACTACAAAATGTTACCTTTTTGGTTGTTTCCAGTTCTACGTTCAGTTCCTCCACTGCTTGAGTGTGTTTCTGCCGAAGTTGTGCCATGGCAGCCTCGTGTGCTACAGTTTCTTCGTCCACGCTCCTCTTAAGTTTCATCAGCTCTTCTTCTCGTTTGTTCCTCATGTCCTGAGCAGCAGCAGTGGTGTCAATCGATTCTTCGAGTTCCGACTTGAGGGACTCCAATTCCTAAAAACAAATAATTTGAAACTGAACCTCTGTGTTGCACAAAATACAGCAGAATCTGCAATAGGAGATGCTGAGATACTGTATTTAAAGAAACCTTGAACATCTAGATCTAGCACTGCACAGTCATAACTTTTTTAACCTCAAATAATACCCTGACTAGCTACGTTATTAGCTCAGTGGTAGAGCATTCAGGCAGCAATCGGAAGATCATCAGTTCGAATTCTGTAAGGAGCAATCGGAATTTCCTTTTCCCGAGTACTCTTATGTTACTGACTGAAACCCGAAATGTTTATTGCAGAGTGCAGCATAAGGATCTGTTTTCTTCACCTCCCCGAGTTCCCGCCGTTGTTTCTCAGCCTTTGTCCTCGCACTTTTCTCAGCCTCTAAATCCTCCTTCAGTTCTTCCAACTGATTGTCCAGTTCTCGCTTGGTTTTCTCGAGCTCGCTTCTCCTGGCAGATTCTTCATCAGCCCTGAAAGAAACACCAACCAAACGTTCAATCTACATCATTAAAACGAGCTCCAAATCTCAATGTGCTCATTTACAAAAAAGCATCGCTATGATAATACTCGTACCTGGCATTCAAGTCATTCAATTCCATGTCTTTTTTATGAATGGTCGCCTCCAGATCTTGGATCTTTAACACAAAATAAAAATTATTATATCAGTAAAATAGTGCAGAACCAAAATGAACTCAGAATCCACAAATGTGTACCGATTTCCTCCTCCGTTTTCCATTGATTTATCATGTCATTGAGCATCTACCACAATCAATGACGTCAGTTTCTTACCGTTTGTTTGGCTTCTTCCAGTTGGTGATGTACATCAGCGAGTTCAGCCTCTAACTTTCGGCGGATTTTTTCCAAGTCTTGGCAAGCCTGTCATGACATAAATATAAGCAATCAAATTCTGGAAAACAGACATTTCCAATCGAGTGTCGAAAGTAATCCAAGATTGTACTGGTTTTGCCAATCGATATACAGTGCGTACGCACTACGGACCTGTTTCTACAGTGTCAACCTAGAGTGACACCGTACCGTTACGTCATCGTTATTATCCCTTCAATAGGACAGACTCCAAGAGAGATGAAATTTCTTGACGGTATCTCCATCACAGAGACTTTTACGTTGACAAAAAAAAAATCAATATCACCTTTGGACCAACTAATTACCTACCTTTTCTGAATTTCGCAATCGTTCTTCGAGATCTGCAATGAGAGCATCCTGTTTAGCTTTCTGTTTGGCCAAGCCTTTAGCTTTCTCCTCTTCGTCGGCGAGAGCTTGGTTTGTCTCCTGTAGCTTGTCTTCTAAGGATTTCTTATCCTTCGTCAACTGTTGAAATAAAAGCATACCGTGTCAGTACAGACTCAACACAAGGGTTTCTCCCGGGAGAGATAAGGTGTGACGTTAACCCTTTAACTCAAAAATCAAATTTATCATTCTCCTTACTGTCAACCATACAATCCTTGTAATATTAGTTCAGAGAATTTAGTATTGGATAAACTAATTATCCCCAGATTGATATTTTTCTTTATTCTCATCACTTATCTGGTTGATATTGCATTGATATTGTAAGGAGAAATTCTGGCTTGGTCACTTATGTGAGTTAAAGGGTTAAGATTCAGACGGAAACAATACTTGATCAAAGAAAGAGTGCCGAGGAGAGATCATAGCACAATCTGAAAAAAATGATTTTCCTTCTGCAAATTACTGACTCATGACTCTCAATAAAGTTGTCAGAAACATACTTTAGAATTGGAGTCTTCCATTAAAGTCAGGTCCTCCTCCTGCTTCTTCAATTTGGCCTCAACAGAGACCTTCTCAAGCTGAAGCTTTTGTCTGGCAGCTTCTTCCTCTTCCAAGCTGCACAAGAGGCAAAACAGGAAAACAGATTACACACAAACATGCAACACCGTAGGGAGCACCCAATATTGTGGTCGGGCCTTGTGTTGGTGCTTTAAATAGGGTTGACCTAATCGTTTCTTTTCCCCCTTGAAAATTTCCCATTTTCCTTTTAACAATACGGAATCTTGTCTTGATACAAGTCGCGCAGATATGCCTCGCTCACCTACGAGTTCTCTGTGGCTCAAGGGCAAAGATAATTTCAGCAGGGCCTGGGTTCAACACCAGGGAGTATTCAATTTTCGTCATCATCACACAATCGCAGTTACTATGGTTATGCTTCTTGAACCAAAAGATTACGGGCACATTTTGAAAAGCCGAGAGTTCATTTAACTGCATAACGCGAGACAATTCCTGGCAAAAAGGACTCCAACTGCCTGTCAAACCTTACTATATAACTTTTCTCTCAAACTGGACAGTTCAAAACAGACATACCTATCCTCCAAGTCTTGAATATCCTTCATCAGTTTCTTCTTCTCTTCGGTAAGACTAAGAACCTTCTCTTCCTCTTCGTCAAATCGCTCCATCTGATCGTTCAACAATTCTTCCAGCTCCTGCTTTCGGGTCTGCAGCCTTTGACGCATGTCATCAGCCTCTTGGAAGGCGTCGCGTTCTCTTTCAAGCTGCTCTTGCATGATGTTCTTTTCCTCAGATACCTGACTGAATTTCCTCTCCAGCTCGGTGACTGCTGCTTCAGACTTTTCCAACTTCTCTTCGTTCGCTTTCTTCAGGTCGAGAGCTTCGCGAAGCGCTTCGTCTGTCCTGGTCACGTTGAGCAACGGCTTCACCTTCGTGAATAGGCGCCACCACTGCCAGTTGCGCAGTTTAAGGTAACTGAGGCAGTTTCGTTGAATAACGCGAATAGCGCTTAGTTGTTGAACCCGCTTGTTGTAGTGCCTTCTTGCGATGTTCCCACGGCAGAAGGCTTGGAAAACAGTGATGATCTCTGTCAGTTTCAGATCACGTTCCTCCTCCAAATGAGCCAACACACCTGCCCTGAAGAAGATCTTGGACTGGCCGATACGATAAGAATTCGTGTCCAGCTCGAGAACCTCCAGCTGAAAAAAAAAATGAATAAGAATTGTTAGAACTCTTGGGAAACATTTCTTAAATTCATAACAATTTTACGGGTGCCCTATTCATAATTCAAAATGTTATCATACACAATTTTAAAATAATACAAGCGTTCTAAAAATCTTTAACTTGTAAAGTGTGATGAAAAATACAACACTTCATTAAGCTCCAAACACAGCGAACCTTGGGGTGTCGTTTCAATAAAAATTATTTTAGACAAATACAGTGCAGTTGAACTTAGATATTGAGAGCTTTTTCTCATTTCTTTTCCTCCTAAAGGATGCTGGAAGTTCCTTTTCTTTTCAGTACAAAAAAAGAAAAAAACGGTGGGCGGTTAATCGCTGATCAGAACTCGCCTCCTGTAAATGCTGCACACTGCTTCTCGGACAAGAAAAACGAAACGCTTATCACTGGCTAGTTTTGTTAATTACATCCATTTTATTTCATCTTTTTTATTTTTCACAGTCATCAAAAGGCACCAAGGTGAATATAACAGAGACCCGATGAGGGTTTGAGGCAAAGAAAAAGCAAACTAACTCTCACGGGAAAAGTGGAGTGACAAGTCATCTGACTACGGGGAAATCGATTGGAAAGTCGCCTTAAGGGTAAGAAGAATGGAGTGACGCGGGAAAACCCGGGAAAAATGGAGTGACAAGTTAACTTAATTGCAGGGAAAATTGATTAACAAGTCGCCTTAAGGGCGGGAAAAATGGAGCGACGAATTACTTTAAGCGCGGGAAAAATGGAGTGACAAGCCACTTTAAGCGCGGGAAAAATGGAGTGACGAGTCACTTTAAGCGCTGGAAAAATGGAGTGACAAGTCGCCTTAAGGGCGGGAAAAATGAAGTAACGCGCCGCCACAAGTGCAGGAAAAAAGGAAGTAACGATTCACTCAAGCACAGGGGAAATGGCGTGACAAGTCGCGATTGGTTTTTAGTTTCGAAATTGATTGGCTGAATAGATGACGCGGATCTTCTCGACCAACGAAAGCGAAAAGTTAGGCAGATAAATGCTGTACCAAAATCTTTTTAACTGTCAATTGAAAATTGCACCGAGAAGTAAGGTAACTTGATGAAGAGAGTGAAATCGGCAAATCGACATACCATTTTCTGACAGGCTTTTCTTCCATCCATAAAACCCTTAGGAATGACTCCTGGTGTCAGCAACTCATATCTGAGGAGTAATGAGAAGTATATGTAATGACTTTCCCCACTGAAGTAAGCCCAGTTCAAACACCGGACCTCTAATGTATGGTGCCCCACCCCATTGCAAGGCAACGGAAGGGAGTCTCAAAAAGGCAATTTGGTACAAAAGATGATAATTAGGTACGGCATTCGTAGGATTCTCAGTCATGTGCCGTACTCCTCGCCTATCATTGATAAAGATCAATGTCAGTATCTGTGTAACTGCACACCCACCCCTCCCCGAACCAAATAACAGTCAACTGATAAAGAGTAAAGGTATATGTTTGGTAAGGGGAGGGGTTGGAGCGCAGTCGCTAAAATACTGGCACTGATCCAATAATTTCGTTATTTTCGATGGGAAAGGCATTATCAGGAAAGGCGTTATCTTCAGGGTATCAAAGTATAATCTCACTGTTTTTGGTGCGGCAGATGAGGGACAAAGCTCCTCACATGAACAGGAAAAGATAAGAGAACAAATATCAATAGTTCGGTTACAGTAATTGAGGACACAATAAGTGGCATCACGGCAACGCGTACCTATCAGTTTTCATGGTGAAAAATGAAATAAAGGCCTTGCATACCTCTGTTTAAATTCCTGGAAAAGCATCCTGTTCGGGAAACCTTGTCGGCAGATCCTAATTCCTTCCAGGACACCATTACACCTTAGTTGGTCTAGTACAAGCTGCGCGTGAATCTTACCAGCCTAGGGGCAGAAAGAGCATTTTTCTTGTCCATTAACAATTTTAATCTTCATATGGTAATTGCCTTCAGTGTTTTAAAGGTTGCAACTTAAAGAGCAACACCGTTTAATGTTACTAGCCTAAACATTTAATGGGTACTCACTCTTTTCTCGTGATTTGGAATAATACACCTCACAAAGTTAGGATTGGTGTTGTGAAGAACCACCATCAGTTTGGCTAGTTGTTCCTGAAGATACAAACATCAGTTTTAAAATAAATGCAAAGAACATCTCGTCAGTACGAAAAAATGCAACTAGTGAATAAGCCATTTCGGAGGTCTAACAATCCTTCTTTTCAAAATGGGGAGAAGTGTAAAACTACAAAAGATTGGCTCTTTCACCGTGAAACAACCACTGATTAAAACGTTAAACGATATATATGAAAACCATCCACTGAAATGCAGAATAGAGATATTAACTAAAGACGAAAGATCATTAATCCTTTACACCCTAACATCAGTATGCATAGTACTGCATACTGTCCTCTATACATTTCCGAAGGTGCCGGCAAGGAGAATTTGGTTAACAATCGATTGCATCTTCAGTTGCTGATCATTTCTTTTCTTCTGGTGACTTCAATGTTTGATTCAGGGGTGATATTGTGAGGAGAAAATAGCCGGATTCTTGTCACGTTTGGGGTTCAAAGGGTTACAGATGATTCAAATTTAACTCCGAAAAAAATAAACAAGGGAAAACCAATGACTGGTTAAACAGTGCGTTCTTATTTCATTTAGTTCCGGAGGTACAAGTATTCCCGACAAACCTTGTACAGCTGGCTGACAGTTCTGAACATTCCCTTACGCACTTTACTACCAAACGGAGTTTCGCTCTGAGTTGCATTCATACTGACAATGTTCTCTGTTAAAAAGCAAATCGCAAAGAAATTTTGTTCACTACAAAGAACTTGAAGAACAGAACAGACACACACTGGAGCAATCTTTTTCAGTCAAACTCCTTCGTCGCGAGTCGATTACTCGCTGAAGAACTATGTTGATAGCATGTAAAAATCATAACGTTATTAACAGAGAAATATATAGTTTATTCCTTGCCCAGAGCTCAGCTATAGAAGGTGCAGTCTCGAAGAGTGCAAATGAACCCCCCAACCTTCCCCAACTTTTGTTGAAAAACTAATAATTAATTTAGGTAAAACTACCCGATATGCCCCAAATGCCAGTGATATGCTTGTTAAAGGCTCCCTCCCCGCCCCTTCTATTGAAAGGAAAATTCTACTGCTCCCCTATCGCGAGGTGCCCGAATAAACCCGGGGTGAGCGAGTGATTTTCTGAGCCATTCAGACTCAGGGTCACCATACCTGAATCTTTCCAAAGAAGACTAACAAAATTGTCTGAGGAATTCTGCAGCAGAGAAATGATGTTGTCGTTGAGGGGGTCCATGTTTTTCATCAGCCACTGATTGCTGTTGTAGTCAACCTGTATAAGAAAATAGACAAAATAATGACATTGGTAATCTATTGGATATTCTGACTTGCACAACTCTAGTTTACACGCCCCGCGGTTACGTGACGGTTACTCGTCTTGCGTCCCATCACTAACAAGAAAACATCAACCTTTGCAACCTCGTTCACAGGCTCCTCTCTTCCTCGATCGATTAAAACAAAACGGAGTTGTATTTGTGCGAGTTAAATAAAGATTTAATGTTATTTTGCTACAAAGGACCTTTCACCTATCAACAAACTAAAACAATTGTCATTTTTTAGATTTAAACTACGGACAGGAGAGCAATGTTTAACTCTGCAGGACCATTCCTACTAAACTTCAACATCAAAGACACAACTTACCTTGCCAGCATAGTGGATGACCGTGAAATGAGCTTCAGAGCGGAACTCTGGGATCTTGAACTTCTGATGTTTACTGTGCTCCTTGATAACTTTTTCTACAAATGACTTGTCTGTGGCTTTTGGAAACCAGCATTCTTCATCTAACAGAGCCATCAATCCCATTGGCTGTGAATAAAACATCACAATTTAATGAGGTAACCTTAGCAGTAAAGAACAAACACGTAATTATGGATCTCTAAACATTAAAGGAGAAGCTCTTTAAAGAATCTTCTTTTTTTTCTTAACACATAAGCTTCTTTTTTTTCTTAACACATACAGCTCATAGCACCGTATTGCTGTTTAAAATAAAGCCTGCCACCGAAAACAAGCAAAACGTTTTGACCCAACAGTAGGGTCAGTTTCAAAAAACAATTTTTAATATACATACATGTAACTTCTTCTTTAAATGAAGGGGGCAATTTGATAAAGTAAATCGGCCACCATAGAGTTTCTAAAGCTCTGACAAAAAGCTAACTTTTGAAATGTCAGCTTTAGAAACTCTTTGGGCAATTTACATTATCAACCCAGTTGATAAAACCAAATTTCTTCTTCTTTAGTTGCCACTGTTATACCATGTTCAATGTATTGTTAGACAGGCTTAAATTTGGGCCACACGTGATGTTTAAGAACAACAACATTGGTTGCAGTGGAAACAAACAAAGCAGGTTATAAACTAAAGACACCACACAATACACATGCCAAACTTAAACAAATTAAGCTGGCTGTTTCCAAGTCACACTAACCTTCTCCAATAAATCAATGCAGGGTTGCAGATCCAGTCCAAAGTCAATGAATTTCCATTCAATTCCTTCCTTCCTGTACTCTTCCTGTCATTGAAAATTAAATCAAACCCAAAATCACATCAGAGTATAGAGGCACTGACTGTTAAGTATTGTAAGGTCCAGTTGTAGTAAATAATGGTGATTGAACTGAGTGGAGTGCAATTTGGGCTAAAATCATACGCGTGATTTCAAAATCAAATGAGCGCGCAGCGCGAGTTCGATTTGAAATCACAAGTATGATTTCAGACCAAAATTACACAACACGAGGTTCAATTACCACTTTATTAAATCCATTTTGAAATCGCCCAAATACAGGACTTGGTCAGTTCAAACATTTTATTGATGCAGTACTGAGCCGGTCTGAAAATTCATCCATCTCTTGGGGGGAAAAAGTAAGAGTTTTGGAAACAAAAGTTGCAAAATTTGCCACATGATACTCTTTGTCTTTCATTTTTCAGCAATTTGATCGGTTACTTTAAACAAGCCTTGAAATCTGATTGGTCGTTTCGTTTTTAGTGTAGCCTCCTCATTGCCTGGGAAAAAGATGCGATTTAAATAAAAAAATAGTGCGATTCATGGATAAATCACATCAATTACAGCCAATCAGATTACAGGGACCACCATTGATTTCAAAATGGGTGTAATAATGACAAAAATCCCTTTCTGGTCATGAAACATCACACAAAAGAACTTTGTGGAAGACCTTTGCAAACAACACTTTGCCTACACATATCTGGTTCAAAATTGGACCCAATTCATTGTCGCTACCAAACCCACCACTTCAAAGCAAGTTAAATGCATAAAACTCATGTTTAAAATGTCTTGAATGGTGTAAAAATTCTGACATCTTTTATCTAAAAGCTGAAGAAAGTCAAATACAGCAGAACTAGGAACATCTAAGGAAACTCTCAGAAAATTAGAGACAGTACCTGCTCCAAAATGAACATTGTGTGATTGAAAAGCTGTTGCAGTTTTTCATTGGTATAGTTGATGCAGAGCTGTTCAAAAGAGTTCATCTAAAAGAAAAATACACATAAAACTGTTAGGAAACGAGTAAGAGAATACTGCACAAACATACTCTTGATTGATAGACAAATTCTCTTTGTAAGTACCATAAGAAATATATGAAGAATGATAAGGAGAACTTGCATACATGTACTGATGTTCAAATGTAAAGGGTTCACCCACTGAACTTAGTGTAAAATTCTGCAATTCTATCACCAGTTGATACTAACTCAATTCATGTTTTATTTAATTCTAATATTCTTTTGTCATTTCCTGATGCATTGCTTACTTGGAAGATTTCAAATCCTGCAATATCCAGGATGCCAATAAATGAAGCTCCTTCTCGCTTGGTTCTGTCCAGGGATTTGTTTATCCTGAGCACAATCCACTTGAACATTCTTTCATAGAGAGTCTTAGAAACAGCCTCAATGGCAAACTCTGCCTGTAAAGGAAAAAAACTCAGATTAAAAAAAAATGCTCAAAACTAATGCATAGCCTAAAATGTGATTAAAATATTACACGTTCATAACAATGCCTGTCAGTTTATACCTTATTAGAACAACAAAAACAACAAAAAAGAATTCAAGGGTACGTGACATTTAACTTTTATTCACCAAAGTGAAGGTGAATAATTTTTTACAGTATATACTAGAGAGAAACTAAAAAAAAAATTGTTTTTTTTGCCAAGAATATAACAAAAAATTGGTCAGAGATTTTACTCCTGGCATGCAATTTGTTGAATCCCACTGAATTAGTTGTCAATTAACATACTCTTGATGGAAATATGGTAAAACAGAGAGGTGTCAGCTCTCTTCCAGTTAATCAAAGTTTGCCAACAGAATTACTCACTTGGGCTTTTGTTTGAGCCTTCTGTACATAGTCACGGCCAACTTTTACTCTTGGTCTCAGTACAGCCTTGGAAAATTCCGTAACAGGAATACCAAGTAAATGGCAAACTTTCTGAGCAACTGCAAGCAAGAGGGAGTATACAAAAAATGTACATCAATCACTACCCGAGAAAGCTTAGACTTACATAAGCAACTTTAATGGTTGATTTTTAATGCAATTCTTTGCTCTACTAGTTGAATGGATGACTGGGGAATTATAAATGGGCTTTGAGGTAGAAGGAAATAAAACATTTCTTTACTATAGACAGGAGGGAAAAGCAGTGTAAGTGCTAACATCACTAGGTTTTTGCAGTGAACTGAAACTACAGTATTGTGTGGAAAGATAAATTCCTCCTCTTAAATATCCTGAAAAAATCTAACCTTCATTGCTTGGCATTATAGCTTGTTCTGAACTTCTCTCCTCCTTGAAAGCCATGTTGCCAAACTGAAGAACAGCAGACACTACACGGAAAAGGGCTAAGGAGGACAGAACACAAATACCAAGATCTCAAATAGTGAACATAAAAAGATAATAGCACAAGGGAGGGAGTAATGTGAATGCGCAGGCATGTAGGAAGAGGAAGCATGTAACAAATCAGGGAAGGAGCATTGTTTTATAAGTTATGGTTCTGTTCTTTACTATGGTTGTATGTATATCAACAAATTCAAACATAAAAGTTTATACAAAATAAATGGTTCACCATTTATGTCATCCTCTGGAATTCCCATGTCCCTCATGCAAGTCTGAAAAAGAAGTAAAAAAATAATTGATTCCAGCAGTATTAGCAAAAGGCATCCTTGCAAAAGTCAGTGCAAATAGCTTTGGCAAGTCATTGGGAGAAGCAACTAGTTCTAAAAGGCTACATTTGCAGTACATCACTAACCAAAGAATCCTGGAGGTCTGCTGCATCATCCCAACCATTTACTGGTAAATTACCATTGCTCAAATAATTATATGAGCCTGCATCTTGAAACAGCATGTCCGCTGCAATAAAACAAGATGGATGTATCTAATACAAACTGCATACCCTCCTTAATATTTCTGTAAAATTAATGGTGCTATAGCAGTCTAGGTTGAACAAACCTTGTAAGTATCTCATTCCATTCTTACAGACCATCAATTTTGTCTTATTTCAATAAATTGCTGCAGTTTATCCAAATATGTATTTATTATTTTGGGTAAGCTCCTGGATATCTTTTCTTTTTTTTTATATTGTGATATTTCTCTTAAGTGAATAGCTATGGAAGCAAAAATACTGTTTTGGGGTCTCTATAATGTCACTGAAAGGTGACATCAGAAAAGGAAGGAAAAATGAAAAAAAAATTAATTGCATACCTGATTGCAGGTCACAAACCATGCCCTATCAGTTTGCTCTCAGTTCTATTATTTGTTAACCACAAGATTATTACCTCTGGCCTTTTTGTCTAAACCATTGAGGACTTGGTAGAAAATGTGAAAACTTCTCTCATTTGGTGTTTGTCGCACAGCACGTGATTTCTCAAGAAGGTCTTATCATGAGTGAAGGATAAATAACATGTGAACCTTGTAATAGCCTATTGCACCAAAAAGATCTCTGCAGCTTAGTTATAGAGCATTAAAATCACTGCAAAACTAGAAGATTTGAGGTAACCATTATGCCTTCACAGGAACTCATATTTTTCTTAGTGCTATGCAAATTTCTCATTAAAGAAAGTTTTATCACATCTTTGTTTATTTTAAACACCGTTCACAAATACAGATGATTTTTCAAGGATACAAGATTCAATATTGGCACCAGCAATGAATCCTGATGCATCAAAGTTGATTCTAATGAACTTTCCCTGCAAGGACAAAGTCAAACAGCACAAAATTAAGCATTGCCCCCATCCAACAGGTTGCAAAAAATGTACTCAAGTAACAAATTAGCTGCCAAAACACTACAAACCCTGTACCTATAGTTAAACTAAAACAATTAACAGTTTAATATGACTTATGCCCCATTCACACCAAAGCTTAAACATGTTTAAAAGTTGTTTTGTTAAACACAGTTTAATTTTTTTTTCTTCATAGAAACTATTTAACCGAATATTTTTGACTTGAATGTAGCACATTGGAAATGCAAGTTAGCAAGTACTTGAATCCTATGGAAAATCAAGTTTTTCAGTTCTCTGTTTATAATTTTCATTCAATGAAAACCAGTTTAACAAAACATGTTTTGCTGGTGTGAATGGGATAATAGTCATATTGAATGGTTCAAGTTCTCCCTTCAACTAGGCGCGCTCTGTAAGGAAGACTTACAAAACGTGATGAGTTGTCATTCTTCACTGTCTTAGCATTTCCAAAAGCTTCAAGGATGGGGTTAGCAGCAAGAAGTTGCCTCTCCAACTCCACCTACAAGAATAAAAACAAATCTTCTTTATTCAACAAGCTCCATCAAAGTTGGACTAGTTTAAAAGCAAGTCCTCGTTGAGCCGATAAAATTAAAGATTCAATTCAGATTTTATAACATGGAATATAAAAATCTAATGCTCCATTAAACTACAATCAATTCTGCGTAAAAATAGGCATGTAGTATAACCAGTATCTTCTCAACTTGGTAAGTTTACCAAATGCATTCCTTTCACCTTCCACAGTTTTTTTTCTTATTTCCCCTTGGAACAAAATTAGGTTTTACACAACATGTGCATTTAGAGGATAATTACCTGGCTTCCAGATAATCCAATCTTTGTGCTGACAGCTGAACTAGTTGAACCAGATTTCTTCGGAGTCTGTGCTGTTTTGCTGTGTGAGTGACCAGCCACTGTTGCCAAGTACTGAATTACTTTCTTGGTATTCTCTGTTTTCCCAGCACCTGACTCTCCCCTGAAGAAAAATTGGAAAAGGAATCAAAATGTGAAATTAACTATTGAAATGTAATTACACAAGCAGCTACCTTGGTACCAATCACAGAGAGGAGTTTGGGCCGGGATTACATATGTATGAAAATCTATAAATCCAATCCACAATACAGACAAGCTACATGTAGTTATAAAGTGCTTATTGATTAAATCAAATGGCCAATCTGTTTTTCAGGTGTTAATAACAACCTTCCTTCTTCTTGATTGACTAGATGAGGTCTCTTTAAAGGAATCACTTAAAACATGCAAAAAGCAAAAAATAATGTTTTACTTACGTGCAGAGAATTGACTGGTTTTCACGGTCTGGAAAAAAGTGAAGAATATAGTGTTATGCCCAGCTATGATCATAAAATTAAGAAATAATGATTACCAATGGATGGAACTATGCTCAGTCATGAGAAAACACTTGATATTCAACAAATATTTTCATCAGACATGTTGTTGATTATCAATTTTCTAAATGGCCTACTTTTTCATGTCTAGGTTACAAAACACTGTATCTATAAAAGGTTACTTTATTATTTAAAGTTAAGTACATTCCTATATTTTTATATGTCAGTAAAGTGTCTCCTCAGAAAGGTGACCAACAAGCAGTTACTCTCAACAACATCAAAATAACATGAATGTGTCATGTACGTCTTGCATAAAAAAATTCACAGTTGTTGATACAAATTTGGCTTGTCAAGTTGACTATAAGAGGATGTGACAAAATAAAAATTTTTGTTTGCAGCAGACAAGTATAAAATTACACAAAAGTCACAATTGCCCTATGTTTTGCCTGTGACATTGAACACATTTGTGAAATACTGTTTTGATAGTTCAATTTCACAACTGATTTTAAAAAATGGCATGTTCATATATTACATCAAGTGATATCTTCATTATTAACTTTAATCAAGTTTTCTTCTTGTGATTTAACAGAGGATATTTAACAGATGCCTTGAGCCAAATTGAGCTTATTTCACTTGTTTTGAATGTTTGAAACAACTGAACAAATAACAGCTGTGAATTTTCTGCATAAAACGGCTTCTTAACAACATTGATTACATCAAGCATGAGCACTTTTTTACATGATTGTAAAGGAAATACCAGCCAATGTAAATAGGATTTCAAAATGTTTTGAAGAAGGTGTCAGACTCTGCAAAGGTAGATAACTGTGAAGAGTTAATTTAGGGCCAAAAGGTAACTACTTTGACCAGAGCAACTGGCAACATGCTGTCAAGTAGCCAGCAGAACTCCAGCTATCACCGGCTATCACATCAAGCATGAGCACTTTTTTACATGATTGTAAAGGAAATACCAGCCAATGTAAATAGGATTTCAAAATGTTTTGAAGAAGGTGTCAGACTCTGCAAAGGTAGATAACTGTGAAGAGTTAATTTAGGGCCAAAAGGTAACTACTTTGACCAGAGCAACTGGCAACATGTTGTCAAGTAGCCAGCAGAACTCCAGCTATCACCAGCTTGTTTTGAAACCCCTGGACTGATATGAAAGATCATGAGGAATTGACATTAGAAATACAATAGACCTGAATTTATGAACATTTCAGTAAAAAACTTATTTTTTTTTTGTAAGAGTTAAATTCAGATGCATTATAGCACAACGTTCAAAATATTTCATAGGGGTTCAATTTTTAATAACACAGAAACGGTCAACAACAACAAAAATGCCATTCTCCTTCTCCTGTTCCAGGACATACACACTTTAAAGGCATAATCTAACATTGACAAAAAAAATTCAGCTCTGCTTTGAAATTTTCTTGTCTAAGCTGATAAAAAATCTCCACATAGTCTCACTAAATAACCAAAACATTCTACAAAAAAGCTGCAAAGGATTTCAGATGATGAAAATTGGACTTAATTAAAAACAGATTGGTATGTTTTTGTGATTAACAACACACATGTCTCTACTGGTATTCATCAGTCTGAATTAATGACATAAACGCTGTATTTCAATTTCATTTTGAACAAATAGCTGAGTAAATTGAAAGACCTAGAACATGTCCAAGCAGAGACCAGCTTAACAATTTTCATAGAACAAATAAGGAAAAGTTATGCAGTTTCCAAGAGTCAAAACAAGGTTGTCCAGCAGAAATAACAAAAGATACTTAAATTGTGTTTTCAATTAAAGCAAGGTTCAGAAAAGTTAACATTTTAGGAATTCAACTTTAAGTTCAAGAAACCAGATTGGCTTTCTTTCTACTGAATTCTATATTTGTAAGTTATAATTAAAAAAAAATTAATACATTTTTGATTACTCAAACTTGGAACTTTTCCCATAATAAATAGTTCCAACTGAGAAGTTATTTATAGCAGAACAATAACATATGGAAAGAATAAGGATAAAAGAAACTTGATGCTAAAAATACATGTAGGTTGAGATGTTCTTAAACTGATATTAAATTTGAAAAGTTTCCTTCAGTTCCTTTGAAGTATATTTAGTTCAGATAATTTAATTTGTTCATTTTGGACACATTGGCATAATATGTTTACAAAGAACCAGGAGAAAAATGAAATCTCCAGGAATGTTTATCTGTTAACAAAATTTCATAAAGGAGAAAAGTGTGGTACACCCATATAAATGATAACAGACAAGGCCAAACTTTCTGATTTAACTGTAATGACTCTCTGAAGAGAAAAAAATCGTTCTGCTTTCGCGAGGCTCAGTGTGATCATTTGTGTGTCTGATTACAAAATTCTATGGATATCACATGCTCATTTGACACCATTGGGAAAGTTCACCACATGTAATGCCATCAAACACATGATGTAGTGGTCACAGCACTTTAAATTCAAAGATTCTACAATCTTACAAGATAACTCTAAGCAAAAATAATACAATTTAGAAGAAGAATACCCCTTACAGGTCTATCTTAATTGCTAGCAATACCAATGTTTATCTAAACAAAAACTGTCTCTTTTAACCCAAGGGAAATTGTATGTCGTTTAATGAAAGTTCAAATTATCTCATGCAAATATTAACTATGCTACATTTTCAATGATTGTGGTTCGAAATGTAACATTATAGGTAGAACTACACTTTTGGAATAAGGTTAGACATGGATTACAAAAGCACAGTGGCATTAGAAAGATGTGTCAAATGGAGACAAACACAGATTAGATGGTTTAAAATTTTGACTTGATTCATGAAAAATGAACACACCACTTATCATAAATAAAATAACATTTATAAACTTCACGGTGGTACCATTTGTAAAGTAAACACACACAAAAATATAGCAATTCTTGAAACTGTCAAAACTTGTGTTAATAAATTTTACTGGATTACAATTACATCTCCTCACCAGGATTTTAAACTTCTGTCATTGTACTGAATAAAGAAACCAAATGCTGATAACATTCCTTAAAACTTGCAAACCTCATTCCAGTGCCATTGTTACATGGCAAATTGAATATATTAAGAATGGATGGCAAAAGTAGAGCTAAGATCATAAAAGTACCACACACAATAGAGAATGAAAAAGCTTTTCTTTCTTTAGGGCGTTACCTAGTTTATTATCTTAATCATGATCAGTTAGACTCAATTTTGATAACCAGGGCAATAACCAGACCTTGTTCATCACAACAAATTTACATTGAATGTTTAAACTATGATGATGAACAACTTGGAACATGTACAGGAAAAAAAATTCAAAAGACAAGGCATTAACAAAAGCCCTGTGTGTTTGCAAATTGTATAACAGAATCAAACTTAAATTCCAGGTACCCCTACAAAGAATTTTCAACAGCATGATTTGAAAAGAAAACTTTGTTTAGGACAATATCCTTTATTAAGTGCTAATATCTGCGACTAGTACACAAGTTGCATAAAAACTTTAATATCAATCCTTAGTTTCCGACTTCTTGAAAACAAATTTAAGAACAAAAGTCATCCACATGTTTGCAAGGGTTTTTATGTCCAAAGTAGCTTGGTCCCCAATAACAATGCTGACTTTCAGTAATGATTGGTGGGAATCAAAAGCCCATCCACTAGTGGGTTTATTTCCCCCCTCCCCCCTTAACAAAAACTATTTCATTTGGTCTGTAGTTCAAATAATTAACAGAAAGGGCAACTTCAGTGGAGATATTCATTCTTGAAGGCTGCTTAGGTAAACTCAAAACTCCCTCGAAAGCCGTGTTTTGCTTTCCATGAGGCGTGAGCTTTCGCGAGCGAGAGGAAATCTACAAGCATCATGAAACGGGTCATGTGCATTACGAACGCCTACAAGGAAAACAAATTGAATCGAAAACCCCTTCACATGGTAAATAGAACAAGTAAACCCAGCAGCTAACAGAGTAAACACATATTTATTAACAAGGGATGCAGAATAGACGTGCTCTGAGGTAAAGAAATGCCCACTGAGAATATCATCAAGAGAGGCAGAGAAATTAAGTCGATCGGTGAATAAAAGACCTTGAACGTCGACGTATAACCTTTCTATTAAGAATCAACACACATTGAACAAAGGGATGTTTTCAAAACGAATCATTAACATTTTCATTCCTGAATGACACTGTTTTAATAACTTCGGCGAGAGGCACGTAAATATACCTTGAATTTTGAGACAGACAGCAAGGTCTGAAACTTGACAGCAAATTAAGCTGATTTTAAAAACTTCAGCCAGAGGGAAAAGGAAAAATTTATTGTGCTGGGCAACGAATACGGAAAATAAATATAACAAACATCTCCCAGGCGGTGAGCGAAGAAAAATGATAATTGGTACACTGGGATGGTTGTCCAATATTTTAATCTCAAGGGCTGTTTGCGTTGAATAAATCATCGGGCATGCAAAAACGCTGCCTAGTAGCGTTTTCGCAGCAGTATTGATTGCATAAAATAGAAAGTTTGTTCAAAACCCTGATTTACTTTACCTTGAAGCATACTTCGATACGCGTTGTCTGTTATAGCGTAGATATGAGGAGGTACTTCGTGTCGCTTCCTTCCACGATACATGTCCACTACTTTGTCCGTGTAAATAGGTAAGCGTTTGTAAGGGTTCACAACGACACAGAAAAGACCTGAGTACGTCTGTGAAAAAGAATCAATCAATAGTTAGCGCTTACAACTGCAACGATTGAATGAAGTGGTCGTGTGAAGCAGATACTTGCACACTAAACTTCCGGTGAGACCAATGACTCAAATCGCCATGTTATAACAAAGTATTACTACTACAAAGCCAACCAATAGAGCCAAAAATAATAAATCACTTACATAGATAAGTCCAGAGAAGTATCTGTCTTTCAGATTGTGCAACACGCTAGCTTCGTTCAAACAGGTCAAGTCAGCCATGTCTTCCACCTTCTCAAATTTGGGTGGGTTCATTCTTTGAATGTCATCCTTGTTCACAGTCTTTCGTTTTCCTCCTTCTAATTCGACAACCACTGAGTCTTTCTTATCATCTTTCACGCTTGCAGCCACAAATCCATGTTCGTCGTCAGGAATCCACACCAGCTTCTTCGCTGACCATTTGGCTTGGGCCGCTGGATCAGCAATGGCTGCCCGATCGACGGCCAAATATTTCATTTCATTCTCCATGTTTTTGATGAGCGTTTAAATCCGAGCCGAGCTCAGCAAACAACACTTTAAACTTATTTTTCGATACCAAAGAAGCCGTGCTTTCCAAACTGGTCTCCAACAAAGGCAAAATAAAGAAAAACCCACCAATTGCGATAATTTCTGAACGAGTCCTTAAGGAACTTACTCCGATGAGATGTGTCGGCCTCACCCCCGTGACATGACGTCAACACTTTTCCCTGATTGGTCGAAGCGAACGTACAACATTTCAAATTTTCGTCGTACAGGACAAATTTAATCCGAAATAATTTAACCTCCTTTCAACATTTCACATTTTTTATTGCCTCAATGAGTAATCATCCAACAGTTTTTAAACTAGAAGTAAGAATAATATCGGGGTTTTCGGCCTGTTTTAGGTGAGTTTCAAGACTTTTTCCTCACGTTAAACTTCATTGCGTTACTTTCAATGTTATGCTCCACTAGCTTCTCTACTCATCCGAGAACCACGTACAGACACACCTACGAAACTCAGAGAGAATAGTTCTCGATTTGCATCTTCAAAAAGAGATAAACCATCTTTACGGATTATCGAGTAGGGAAAGGAAAGCAAGCTGTAATGAAGTATCTCTTGTACAAAAATTACAAGAAATATCGAATGAAAAATCGCAGAACCATCATTTATCGCGATCGGAATTCGAACAATTTTCGTGTTCGTATCCTTCCGTTTTAATTCGAGGTATTTCAATCACGAAAAATATTTTTGTTAATATTCATGAGGCAATTCAGTCGACCAAGGACCTCAGAAGGAAAAGTAACAGTTGTTTTACCGAATTTCAAGTCACCAGACCTGAAGTTATGTGTTCTTGGCCGATGACCATTTATGGCAATGGAGATGTCGGAAGAACTGCTTAGGTCATGTCATTAAAAAAACAAACTGGGTAGGGTTTACCGGCCTTTGGTCTAAATTACTCCAATTATCGTTATATTATCGATTCTCTGAAAACGACTCGATCACCAAGACAAAGGGTAAAATAATTTACTAAGTAAAACTATTTCTACAATTATGTGACGTTGTAAGGAGAGAATACTTTTACTCAATGTTCATATCCGGTCGGAAACTGTTTTATTCTTCATCGCGTGCCAAAGTGAACGGATAATCCTTCGAAATCCAATAAGGCAAGAATTTCTTAGACCAAAATTTGGATTTATGAAAGACTGTCGACGAAAATAAATTAAAGGAAATTTTGATTAATGTATTGACAAATACTGAAAGCTGTTAAACGGAAAGCGCAGAGAAATTCGAAATACACCCGTTTCGATGAAACTGGTAAGTGTCTGGAAAGTTTCCAGACACGTCGGACAAAATTATGAATCCTTCAGTCTGCGATGTACGTGTTCACAAGCGGAAGATTAAGAGGGCCAGGGTCGTGCTCACTCACTGTCAAAATGGTAATGTGTAGGTCCAACATTCGATCCGGAAAAAAATTAGGCACGTCTTCCAAAAAGAAGAGAATGTCTCTTTGGATAACAACAGTTACATTTTAACGCAAGAGTAGATCTTTTTGACAGTATTTTACGAGAAAACAAACAAAACTGATGATCATCATGCATCACCGTCTAGTTTTACAGACTTTTTTGGAAAAAACAAATATGGAAAAAATCTACAAAATATGGGGGATGGGAGGTCGGAGAGGTCTGGAGAGGAATCAGACACCTCTACTTATTGCTGGTCTACAATTTCTAGTGTACAATATTTTTCTGGTCTTGAAAGAGGAAAATTTTATGAAAACAACCAGGAACTGAAATAGTCACCGAAAAAGGTGAATTGGCGATTTAATTTTCTCCTATAGCCTTCAAATCTTGTTCCAGTCATGCATATCCCACTTGTGAGAATTCACTTCCGCTACTAAACGCAATCGTTCATGGGTAAGCCATGAGATCACGTTTTACCTTAAATTTGAGTTTCACAATGAAACAAAACGTAACTTGTTACAGGTCAGTATATCACAGTTTTCGTCAATGGCTACATCCTGGCAATATTGTTCTCTAGTCTTTTAAAGACAAAGGCTATAGCTAAAAGTTATAATTCGATATAAGAAAAGAAAGTTTACACTGGCCGAAATGGGAGAGCGAGAAATCTCTTTCCTGCCTCACGTTAGAGTTATTTGAACAAGAATAATTTCTGTTTACCATTTCTGGGGCCCCCAGCACTTAGGCCAGTATCACCTCTCTCTGAACCGAATACCGAGCTGCTCACTATCATACTACTTCGGCACCTTTGAAGCGTTTCTTTTGCTTCTCTCCCACATTGAGTATCCTATAGACTACGAGCAGTCCCTCCTTTTCGGCGAAGTCCGTCCCGCGGCGCGCAAATATCAATTTTTTTTTCACTGATTTCTTTAACTCGCGCGAAGGATTTTGCTGAAAAGGAGGGACTTCTCGAAGTCCAAGTGACTCATGATCTTGGCTCAGGCCGATCATTATCACCCGGTGTGAAAGTTCAGTCAATGAAAAATCACACTACAACACTCTTCCACAAACGAAATTCGTCTAAAGAAGAACGAAAAGAAGAGAAAACAAAGAGGAGGCCAAGAGTGGGTGGCACATCTTTAATAGGAACACTCCGAGAAGGGTCTCAATCGGGTTAACCGTTAACCGTGAAACGACCAAAAACTTACGTTGTTTGGAAAAAAATTGGCATAATTTAGCCATAAGCGGTGAAAAAAGTTGACCGGATTAAAATATTTCCCGTGAGAATAACTGTGCTAGTTCGCGATCATTTCCTTTTAGCCTGCAGAATCGGCGTAATGAGGCAAGCGCTATGAGAGCGCAAAGCGCGAGTTACGAAGATAGCAGCTCCTCCCCTCGCAAGTGACTCGTACTTTGCGCTTGCCTAGCGCTTACTTCCGTTTGACTAAAAAACGTTAAAAAAAAACAAAACACGTCTCTTCTGTAGGCTAATTTCCTCTACTCTCATGACATTTAAGTGTGACTTAGCAATAACACTGTAGGAAGAAATCATATGGTAGTCACTCGAAGGGTTTACAGTGTTAAGCTATATTGTCATTCACTCTGACGAGGGGCTAACGCTCGAAATATCAGTTTTAGAAACTCTTCACGGTTGCCAATTTACATTATCAACTCAGTTGATAAAATATAAGTTTGAAAAAAAAGCAAACTATGATGATGCTCCTTTTACACGAAAAAAAAACTATCGGTGAGACTGACTTGAAAATGAAATGAAATTTAATACGACTACAGAGTAGAATTGATCATTTACAGGTACAACAATAAAAGTCACACAAAATATATTCACATTCGTGCTACATTACTCCTGGGTAATGTTCCCTCGAAATCCAAGTAGATTCTCGAGGTCTGTAATCATAACTTGTCCAATTACCACATTTAAAGTTCCTAAAAAAGCCTCTTCTTCTTCCCGTCTAGTATCCGAGAGAAAATGTCCGAATGGACATGACGTGCATGAGAAGTTTAGTTTATGCACGGGATACTCTCTCTGGAAGAACCATCCAGCACTTTCAAGCGCGGGTTCTCAGGTCAACAGCGAGGCAGGGGGTGGGGAGGGGGGGCTTTAGCTTCCCTCACTTTTGGCAAGGACGATATTTGTATTTTAAGTATGAGGTACGTAGGAAGAATAAATTTCAAATTTTTCTGGGGTAGGATGGTTCAAACCCATGCCTACAAACTCGCGCCCCCAGGCACTCGTACTCAAGCCCCCCCCCTTCCCCCCCCCCCTCTTTCAAGTTAAAAATAGGCTCCATCGTCCCTAGGCCAAATTTTAAAGAAAATTTTCTACAATCAAATTTAAAGTGGTTCAGTTAAAAAAATAAAAAGATCTACACCGGCGTCGTTGGTGCCGCTGGTTTGGGATTGTCCCACCCATAAACATTATCCGCTCCAAGTTCATCCACCTGGCGATTAAAGTCAGTGAAATCCACATACGAATGCACCCTAGTTTCCTCGCTGGTTTCTGTTCCTTGCTCCTGTTCGTTGCTTTCCCCTTCGCCGTCAATACCTTGACTACTCGCACCCAAAGCAGTTGCATGCTCGGGAGGAAATGAACCAGAAGGCGATCCGCTGGCCGATGAAGCGGAACTCTGAGTGTCTGACCGCGAGATGGTCACCTGTGGTACTAAGTTGGTGGGTGTGGACGTGGTAGGACTCGGGCTGTTTCCGCTTGGTGCAGGTCTGGTCTGTACTCCGGACGGTATGTACAGTGAAGGAGCACTCCCCGTCATGGGGTTGGAAGGGTTATATGGTACAGACACAGGAAGCACTCCGGGACTCATGGGAGGCATCGCTGTAATGCACCACAACTATAGTGAGCTAATGATAAAGTCTGCATGTGCGCCAAGAGGGCAGGGTCCGAATTAACTTTTCTACACTGGTGCCAAGTGGCGATTAAACAACCTTGTTTCATTAGTTTCACTGACCAAACGCGTGGAACAGGCTGTTGCCAGATGGAAGAATTCAGTCGCCAAAAATATTCAATTTGCAAAAATTTTCGGTTAAGAGCAAAATACAATTTCACGAAACACACCCGGTAGCACCACTTATATGATGTCTGTTGAAATAATTTTCAGTTACCGCTCGTGAGAGATAAAGCCGATTGCCGGTCAAGTGGTCGCCTATGGGAGTTTAAAAAAATTGAACGTTGTAAACGAGTATCTCTAAAAGTGGTCGCTTATATGAGGTGGTCGCTTACGAGAGGATCCTTTTATAGTAATTTGACTCGGAAACTTTTGGTAGTTTGAAAAAGAGGTCGCAAACAAGAGGGATCGCTTTCGAGGGGTGGTCGCAAAGGGAGGTTCGATTGTATTTCTTGACCAGCTAAGTGTAAAAGAGCGCAGCAAAAAAATAGCGGACGCATTGTTTGTCGAGCGTTGATTTGCAGGAAGATAGCCTGTTCCAGGCGTTCAGCATAACGAAGTGTGATAGTAAACGGCGCAACAGTCGTGGAGGAGTGAAAAGACGAGGGAGGGTTGGGTTGGGTTGCGTGATGAACGCGTACTTTACTCGACCCGACCCAAACCTCCCTTGGTTTTTTTTTCGCCGTCTGCTACTTCACTCCATTTTACCCTCTGGAAGCCTGGAACAGGCTGGCAGGACGAACACTGGCAAGACTTCAAGTCAGTCGCCTGCTGGTGACCGCATGGAAACTCTGGTCGCCGACAATCAATTCTTAGTCGTAATTTCCAATGTATGCCAGAAAGTGTTGCATACCTACCTGACACCGACTGTCTTCCGGGAGCCCTTGGACTCTTCAAACTATTGGCGATCTCCTCTTTGAAAATTCGAATCAGTAATGTCATATCATCTCTTTTCTGACACTTGGACATTTGGGTCATGTATGTGTCATGATGTGCCCTGCCCACTCTATCCACAACAGCTTGTGCCACACCAGTCATGTTGTTCTGACAATGAAGTTCTTCAGCGACCAGCCGAACAACATCAAAATTGGAATTGGTTTCTACATCTGACGCTTCATCGATGGACTTGTAAACACCATCCGACATCAGCACCAGACAGTGGAAGGTTTCGTCAATTGGAAAGCCACCGCAAATGTGAGGCTCTGCGATAACAGGCTCTTCAGTAGCGGCACTACAGAAATCATCATAGATCATGATTAAAGGGGGTAAACCGCGTGCGGCGTCGGTGGAGAGTGGGTGGGAGGGGGGAAGGGGGAGTGGGGGGTGTTTACAAGACAATGTGGTTCTATCAACTGAGTTAATGATGTAAATTTGAGGACAGCTAGAGATGCATTTAGAAATCAAAACAAACTGCAAGCACCTTAGAATATCAAAGTCCTTGTAGCCACCTTTAACACAATAGTCTCCGATACTTCTTGTGTTCTCCTGATTTCCAATCCGACGATTCCTTAATATCTGCTGAATGTCCAGACCCAGATTTGCCAGCCGAGTAAGCTCGTCGTTGTTACTTGTGACGTGGTCAACACTCAGCTGAGGATATAAAGGAAAAAAGGTCGCGTTTTAGAGATTGTACATTCCCCTACTCAGTTTAAATTGCGGCATTTTTAAAGAAAAGCTTTCCCCAACAAAATGACAAAATGCCTTCTGATTCGTCTCAACCTTGATCTTTTTACTTCAAGTCTATCAAATGCTACAGTTCTCTATGCAAGAAGCACTAAACACCAACATTGCAAACTAAGGACTATTTCTAATTTGGAAACACAGAACAATACAAGTTTGGCCCAGCCTAAAAGATGTGTTTCAATCGCTAGTTATTACTCGGCTTCCCTTCAATCAAACTTACACACTGCAGGGCTCCAAGCTCAATTTTTTAAAAAGTCGCCTTTTGGCCACCTTTAGCTGCAAAATGGTCGCCATAGAAATAATTTGGTCGCCGAAATCGTCAATATTGCGCTACCGGCGTTTTTACGGTTGTTAATTCGACCAAACATCGATGGATTTTGCGATTTTTTTTCAAATCTGTTGGTAGCCAATTGGCGACTTTCGCCGAATTTTTAGTCGCCAAATATATTTATTACTCCTCATGTCGACCAAAACAGTCGCAACTTGGAGCGCTGCACGGATTGCCTTCCCAAAAACAGTACAATACAACAAGATGAGCAAGCTATCATGTTAATGGCAATTTAAGTTTCCTGGCTTGACTAGGTCACTTTATATTCTAAGGAGAAGCTCCAAAATAAGTGATTACCGCTAACTACAGAAGGCAGTTGTTATTTTACATTCCGCCGTTAACAAGCATAGGATGGGAATAAACCCTAGAGATCACCAACCTATGTAAAAGATTTACTGAATGTATGCCTTCTCTGCTCTGCTATGGTGCTCGTGGGTATTGCCGCTGTAACTGGGAGTTAACCCTTTACCCTAACATCGGTATGCATATTCTCCACACTGTTCTCTATACGTTTCCCAAGGTGCTAACAAGGGAGAATTTGTTGAACAGGCCAGAGCCTCTTGAGTTAGCAAGCTATTCCTTTATTCCTCTGACCTTAAAGTGTGATTCGGGGGGGGGGGGGGCGGCGGCGGCGGGCGAAAACACGTGGTAAGGAAAAATTAAAGGCTAGACACTCTAAGGAGTCAAAGAGTTAAAAATATGTACTGTTGTTACCTGCGTCACAGAAATACTTCCTTCAGGAGTCTCTCTACATAAGAGTGCTCTAGAGTCACCAACATTAGCCACAAAGAGTTTATTTTGGAAAATCAGAGCTACTACAGCAGTAGTACCACCACTGATCTCATCTTGCAAGGCCTGCATTCTGGCAACCTCATCTGGGAACTGTTGGTAAGCTTCATATGAGCTCAGACCCTAAGAAAATAAAATGCAAGAAAATCATTTGTTAAACTGACGTTTTTCTTTGATATTGATACTGTGGCGTCAGTAAGTTTAATGATTAGTCATGTATCTTGATTCATGAAATAAACGGTTTTATCATATAAACTAAGGAGTTATACAAGGATTTCCAGCTCTGACAAAAGCCGTAACAACACACGTGAAAAAATATCGTATTTTTTCACATGTGTTTGATATCGCCAATCAGCCGCTGACACGTCACTCGCCTTTTGCGCCACTCGGTCAGGTTGGTGAATGAACGGCGAAGCCTTCGCCATTCTCAATCTAAGGTCGTTTGTTGGAATTTGTTTTGGGTTATGGCTGCTAAAACACTAAAAATTCCGTATCGCGTACAGACAGTGACGTTAAAACTTTCCTATAAGGGGAAGAAAACCAAAATATTGAAAGAAAAACCAAAGCTACGTATTCGGTGGCTTTGGTATTAGCATTTCTCGCGGCTGGGAGCGAAAATCGAGAACTGGAAGATTTGTCACTGGCCGATTTTGCCCGTGTACCTAAAAGATTTCTTCTGTCGGTAAGGACCATATAATAACTGAGAATTTTGCACATTGAAAATTACGCCCATAGTTTGTTTTTGTATTGTTTCAACAAATTGTTTCATCATGAGCCTTGGCGCCAACGCCGTTTAAGATTTTTAGTCAGGGATTTTCGATCCCTTTATTTTCATTCATTTATAAAGTTGACTATCTTGCACTGTTAAAGTTATGAAGTGTTCAGTTCTCTATAGCAGTATCAATAAGGCAGTAAAAAATCACCAGAATCGAATATTTAGTATTGGTGACTGCCTATCCTTACTAACAGGAGTTGGGGATGAAACATAGGGTAGGCTAATTTGCACACAAAAAATCAAAAATAGAATTTGCAAAAAGAGTGCAAAGGGGAAAAGGCCTTCAATATGGATGGGACATACAACCATTTTCCAACAGGGAGTTCCTTTACCCATCTTTCCTTAACATCCAGGAACAAAACAATTCTTAGGCATAGTGTAATAGAATATTTTGCCAACAACCCATTGCTATTCAAGAGCTGCATTTTTAAAACAAGCCCTGAGGCCTACCTAGACAAGCTAACTTTCATGCAAATTGACATGGGCCCTCCAAGTAATCTGCCATATTTTCATTTGGTCTATACAAGTTTGTTAAATTTTGATATTCATTACTTAATGCCTTTACTTGAGAGCAAAAAAAAAAAGGAGATTCAGATGCATCCAGCCACAGGCCTTTTAATAACCCAATTTAAAACTTTCCTACAATAAAAATATAAAAATTTTCAGTAGTTGGGGATTTTTTTAAATTGAAACAATAACTCCAATTGGAATCTTCCTAACATTAAAAGATTAAAGTACAAGAAAGAACACAAAATGTACCTCAGGCATTGATAATTGAATTTCTGTCTTCTCAGCCAAAGCATCATCTAATGATTGGAAGAATCCTTTTTCAACTACAATAAAGGCCTGCCTGATGGCTCCCTTGATCTGCTCATCATTCATATCAGCTGTTGACAATCAGAGATTAGATTATTGATAAGAATATTACCAAGTGTTTCAGAGCAATTAATAGATAAAATGTCACAACATCACAACATCTTGATCAGTAATGCAATTTAACAATACCAGTATGCGATCATTCATCCACTTTTATAAGGTATAAATCTGAAAGATCTCATTATTAATTCTCCTTACTGCTCGTCATATAATTCTTGTGATGTTAGTTTGGAGAATTTAGTATTGGATCAACTAATAATCCCCTAATTAATATTTTCCTTTATTCTCATGACTTGTCTGCTTGATATTGTATTAATATTGTAAGGAGAAATTCTGTCTTGGTCACTCATGGAAGTTAAAAAGTTAAAAAGAAAACTAAGAAAACATATTATCATTCAGGACTTGTTAGCTCTCCAAACTACAAACTGAAATTGAGTCTGAGGTTCAAATGCTGCCATATAACCAATCCCAAGTGAACTAAAGAATATTAATCTTTGCATTACCACTATATTTTCAAGTAGAAATATACAATGAGAGAAAAGAGACATCAGTCATAACACAAGGCTCTCTTATTTTACCTATAAATCAAAACAATTTATATAGTATCACAACTAAATGTATGCAAGAATTCATGTGATGGTCTTGTCTTACAAAAGGGCTATTTTTGAGTAAGTTACAGCCCTCTGTAATAATAATAAAAATAACAATAATAATTTATTTAAAAAATAATTTTACCAAGTTTCTTACTAACCAGTTAGCTGACCAAGTAATAGCTCAGCAGGGAGTCTCTGAACAGTAAAATCTGAAGCCCTTGTTCCATCATGACCATCAAAGACTCCATAGAGATATGTGTCATCTACATTGAAATGGAAACTCCTGTCCTCTAATTCATGTTCCTCCCTTCTTCCACCATCCTCTCTGTACCTTTGATTTGTAAGGAAACCAACCCCAGACAATTTGCAGACTGGGAGGTCATCTGTCCAATTCTCAGTAGGACTTTGGGACTTAAAACAAAATTTAAAGCAATCAATCAGAAAAAAAGCTATCTCTGTTAGGATTTTCCGTTGAAATGGCCATACTCTGAGACAAACCATTTCCAGGGGGTATGTTTTTTTTTTCAGAAAACTCCATTATTATGATAACAAGCTATACTCTGAGAAATCTGAGATTTCCCATTTTTATTGAAAAAGTATCCAAAATTGCTTTTATTAAGGAGATAAGGCATAGTTACAAGGAATAACATAGTTACAGGGGAACTATATTCACTCTGTATTCAAGAGACTTGACATAGATGTTAGATTTTTGTAATTGCTCAGATAACTGTGGATATTTTTGTAATCTGATGGGTTGAGGATTATGTCATATCTTGCTATAATCACCCAAAACAAGGTGATTATAGCTGGGAAGCTATTTTTATCTTATTGGAATGACTGCAATTAACAAACTATGAGACATTGTCATTAACAATAATTCCCTGAAGGTGAAGTGAAAATTGTTGAATAATTCTAACAAAAAGTCAGGGGGATTATTTAACAATATTTGATAAATAATTCCTTACTAGGTACTTTTGGAATTAATTTTTAAATATTTGTTTTGATGTGGAAACCATTCTGTTTCCATTGTTTTGATTAAAGAACCAGTTTCTACTTGAATTTGATGGGTTCACTAATTCAACCAGCAAAAATTTCATATCTTCCTTTTGAAAAGTGTTACTCCAAACTACAAAGCATCTTTTGAGGTCTTAGGAATTAAATTTTTGTCATCACTTCCTAGGTTGCACTAACGAAACACATTCCTGTAATAATCACCTTGCATGAGGTAATTATAGCAAGATATGATTCAATCCTCGACAAATCAGAGCCTTCACATCTTGATAATCACCAGAGCAATTATATCAAACAAGTTCTTGCAAAAAAAAAAGACAAGACCACTACACATTGTCATGTTTCATTGAGTTTACATATTAACAATGTGATCCACATGCCAAACTCTGCTTCCCTTCATTGATGGGCAAAAAGTTGGAAGCAGAGAAAAACAAAACAAACGGTTTAGCTCTGACAATTAATAATTATTCACCTCAACTCAGGCTATATGAAAATGGTTGCGTAATCCCCTCAACTTTGTCTCGCAGTTATTAAACAATAGTCACTTCGTCCTTGATGAATAATTATCAGATACAGTTGAGCAATCGAAAATTTATGACAAGTGTGAAGGAAGTGAAGTATTTCAGGTGGAAAACATGATTTCAAGTTAACATTTAAAGCAACTGTTAAAATCACAGGAGTACATTTAAAAGGATATGCAATCCTTGGCTTACAGTTGAAGTTTCTGGCTGAAATTATGCAACCCTAGAATACCAGGGTGATCAAGAGACGATACGTGATTCTTGATACGGTTCCAGCTGTTTGCTAACTGTTGTCATATTGCTCTATATTTATTGTGCTTCACGAAGACAATCACGAAGAAACAACGAGACAGAAATTCGAAAACAGGTTTGAGCTAAGTACTTACCACGATAGAGCTCCGTTTGCTAGCCATGAATTCACTAAGTTATCATTACTTTCGACTTCATTCGAAGGCCTCTCTCCTTCCGCCATCCAATAAACAAAGATGGAGGTTTGGGATAATTGAGAGAGCTAGTCTTAGTCTCCTTCGACCAACTACTTTGGTAAAAAGTAGAGCGGACTGGACGAAAGTGAGAGGGATTTAGGAATAATCGGGGGTGGGAACATAACAAAGGGTATCTTAGCGATCCTAGCACGATCCTAGCACAATCCGACCAAACACAAATCTAAGCCATGGTTAAAATAGAATAAAACGAATGGAATATCAAAACCGGACATGAACAATCCATGAAATTCTTATGCTATTTCTTTCGTCTGATATGCAAATTTTAAACAGGACTTGACGAATCCAACGAACGATAAATTTTCACAGTTGGTAGACTAAACAATAAAACAATAACTGCATCTGAACCCCATGGTATTTCTTAATGCGAAAAAACAACATAGCATTCGTTCGTGGGCGTGATCACGATAAAAGATAAAATTCATGTAGAAAAGTCAAAATTATCAGTCTGAGGGAAACGAATAAATTATTATATAAATATATATTTTTAAATACAATTATATGAAACAAAAAATATCTGCTTTTGTACGAGGAAACTAAAACTATTCCATCAGTTCTGATTAAATTTTTGACATTCCGTTCTTTAGCGACCAAATAATGCACTGTCATTATTTTTAAAACATTGAAAATGTTTTCGCAATATGTTTTTGTCTTGTCAGTTGTCACGAACGTGGGACATGGAATATTCTTAAGTCTATGGTTCGATTCCTCATGGAGAATCGGGGACTCAGGATTTTTCTGTATCCCAAGCTCGTGTTACTAATCGTGACAGGACAAAAAAACATAATTCGTTATTTCTTAATCGAGCTGAAGTATTTTTTACCTTTCATATTCTTTTTACAAACATTGCTACTTTTATTTGTTTTCTTTAACTTTGTGGAACATTCGTCTCTTAATAATTAATAAAAATTATGAAACAGACCCATGGACAGAACCGAATATCAAACGTATCTCATTTTAATGAAGTGTATTCAGGCAACACCCTTTAACGAATTAGGCAACAGAGCAGAAGTAAAAATACGAAAAAAATGTGTGAAAATTAAATTACTTCACTATGGCACAAAAATTAAATTCCTAAACCGGAAGTCTTTCTGATTATTCAACATCCGGTCACGTGGTCCTTAGCGTAAGAAAAAGTTGACATCTTTTCGTTGCAACACGACATTTAACTTTCCTCTCTTTGGTAAACTTTTTGTGGTTGTTTGGCTGTAACAAAACGTTGGAACACAAGAATAGTAATTTGAGGTTATGGGTAAGTGTTTTTCAGTTTGTGTGGGGGACTCATCTACAGATACAACTCAGCGAAAGCCTTCACAGCAAACCACAACCGCATCAGTAACAACTAGGACGTTCAACAATTCGTATACCCAACACGCACCAAGTATTATGAACGAATCGTTCAAGAGTAAACCAGCAGAGAAGAGTGTGCCAGCGAAAACTAGTTCAAATGATATACCAAGAACGTTCCCCTTGCCAAAGCAAGAAGTTGACGAGTCAAAGATCGCTTCGCTGTTCGGTAAATACAAGGACGATACCGAAGACGCTATCCTTGCGGATGGCATGGAGAAGTTTTGTCAAGACTTAGGTGTTGATCCGACAGAGTTCATCGTGCTTGTTCTGGCCTGGAAATTTAATGCCTCGCAAATGTGTCGCTTTACGAGAAATGAATTTTTCGAAGGATGCAAAGCTCTCAGGGTAGACTCCATAAGAAGCCTACAAAATAAATTTCCCGAACTAGAAGCAGAGGTAACAAATGACGTCGAGAAGTTCAAGGATTTGTATCGATTCACTTTCAAGTTTGGACTTGATGTGGATGAGGGCCAGAGAGCCCTTCCTAAGAACATCGCTCTTCCACTTTGGAAACTTGTCTTTTCAAGGAACGTGCCAGCTGTTCTAGATCGATGGTTTGCCTATTTAGAAAACAGACAACTGCGGGGAATTTCACGAGATACTTGGTATATGTTTTTAAATTTCACAGAGGCAATTGAGCCGGATTTCGAGAATTACGATGACTCGGAGGCATGGCCAAGTCTTTTTGACGATTTTGTAGAATCGGAAAGAGAATTGATCAAACAACTACCAAAAGATGACGCTGCAGCTATACACGAGGAGAAACAGGAGAACGGAATTATCAAAGAGGAAAGCACGTACTCCTTTTAGACTTTGACTTCGTTCTGAAATTTCATAATATTTTGGTAGCTTAGCCTAGAATTGAACTTAAACATGTTTGATCTTATCGCTATCGAAGACTTCGCCATCACACTTGTAGAAAGCACAAAAAATAATTCTATTCGTGCGGCCTGCCTCCCGCAATTAAGCTACGATCCAATCCACAGGCAGTGTATTAAGGTCCTACTTCATTACTGAAAAGGGTGAAACAACTTCCCCGATCATACACCGCGGAATCGATGATAATAAGAAAAATCGCTTTGTTTAGGAAGCGCTGTCAATAGATTAAATCTTGCTAATTTCATTTTCATCGGGAAGGGGTTTTAAATTTTAGATCAGACATCATGTGCGACGGATCAACGGGTTTTCGAACTTAGGTATTCCATTGGTCCTGATTACAAAACAATTGTCAAAGTTGTGAAAGGAGAGGTTAACCAATTCTTAAATTATTATTTTTTAAATTTATTAGCTTAATGTGAAGTTTTATACCCTATGCCGTTTAACATTCCACCGACAGATCATTGAAATTTCGCTTAATACAATCTTGTTGGAGGGAAATACAGTTGCAATAAAACAGCTGTAAGTCGTTCTGCAATAAGTCTATTTTGAAATTAGTATGTATGCATTTAAAATGCCGATTTTTGTTACTATGCAATCGTATTCAATTCTTTGTGCTAGTGACAAATTGATAAACTACAATATACCTACCACACAAAACAAATATCAAGTCTTTGTCATTAATCAGAGGACTAGACAATCAGAGATCGTCTAGAAAAGATATCGTGTTGCTGGTGTGCTAAATTCTCTTCATTTATGTCAACAAGCCCATAGCAACCACCGACATTTAACTATTTTAAGCTCATAGGTATCATTAAAGCAATGAAGGATGGTGAATGAACCTGTCTGTAAAATTTTAAAAGCATTTCCACAAAGAGGTAAAATTAACTTTATTTTGTCTGGAACTGTAATGTAATTCTTGTACTGTGAAGTACTACACATTAAAACATTATGTTTTCAAGCTAAATTTTCAAGGATATTTTCATAATTGCAAAATAGATTGAACCTAGAACTGCTTTTGTCTTCATATTGTTTCAAAATTACTAAATTCTTATTCTATTGAGTTGAAAGTAGTTGCAATGAGTTAAGACTTCTTCATCAAAGAAGAGCTTCAATTTCTTACATATTGACCACACATTTCTTTGCTGCCAACTCCAGAAAATTTTTAGTGATGTATCACATTTTTCACATATTTTCTTCTTTTTTATCACATGCTTAGTTTAAAGTGTTTGTAAATTGTTAGGAGACTGTGAAAACTGATCACTGATAAGGTCAAAAGATTAAGAACTTATTCTTAAGGTTAGGAACACCTGAACATCAGTATGCTTATCCTCCATACTTTTCCCTATATATTCCTTGAGATGCCGACAGGGAGAATTTGTTTAAGAATCTCTTTGTTTAAGAGCCTCTGTAGTTGGTGATCATTTCCTGTATTCTCATGACCTTAATGTTTGATTCCAGGGTCATATAGTAAGGGGTAGTTTGATGCTACCCACTCTTGGGGGTGAAATGGTGAATTGTAGGTTTAACAGAGGCCCTTAATCACTGTCTCTTCTCTATGGGAATGAATAATTAAAATTCCATGGCATCTGGGGCTTGCAAAAGTGTATAATTAATATATTTGATTTAAGAAGACAAGAAGCAGGGATTAAGTCCTTTACTGCACTTAAAAAAAATTGTTTGAAGATTATACTGAAGGATTAACATCCAAAGATTATCACAAATGGGATTTTTGTTTAGTTGGGTTGATGTAATTAACAAGGTGATAACTACATCAAATGATAATGTCTTTCATTGATTTCTATCTTCTTTTGAAGCATTTGAAACATTTGATGGAGGTCACCTTTTAAAGTTAACTACTAATTGTGGGAGAGAATAAATTGACGAAAGTGACAACAAGAAAGTAGTAATACTTGACAGCAGTTACTAGGAATTACTCCAAATTTTTTCACAGTTGCTGAAGTTGCCTCTTCTTATTAGTTGGTTACACTATATTTATGACAGCATAAACCAAGGAAAATATAAAAACACTCTTTCACACTTTTCACATCAACAAAAAAATTACCAGTGACAAAGCACTACTTTACAAGCCTAAATATGGTATCTGACAGTAAATAATGGAGACTTAACCTTTACCAGGTTAACTCTTTAACACCCAGAAGTGATTAATATGAAACTTCTCCCTATAATATCCAAACATCATTCAGCAAACAGGTAGTGAGAATATTTGAACTTATCAAGCAGAAGCTGTTATCTTGATCTAGCACCAAGTTCTCATAACTAATTTACAGGGAAATGTGCTGCAGCTAGAGGGGAGAATAAACAATCAGATCTTGGGAGTTTAAGGGTTAACAGTTTTTCAGATTTTCAGTATTTTGTGCCAGTTGAAATTAATTGTTTCTCATTCAGAGGAACCCAATGTAAGGGGACCTAATCTAGAACCCAACTACTTCTTATTTGTGCCACATGTTTGAAAATTATGCAAGATTTCTCAAGCAAATAATATTTAGGAACTTGAAAAACATCCTGCTGGGCTGTAAGAGAATTTAAGTTTGAAAAGTAACATTATTACACAATGTTTCACTCCCTATCATTTTGATGTAAGTCAATGAAACACGCCTTATGTTTCAGTTTTGTGCCTGAAAAATGACTCTGAAATTAGTCTTAAAACCAAATGTTCATGAAAACCTTTACTAAATAAAATAATAACTAACTAGATTGATCATGAGATTGGGAATCAAGGACATTCAAACAATTCCTACTTTAAATCCACATGGGCCAGTTGGGACACTGAGTGAGGTGGTTAAGTATTCATTTTAACTATAAACAGGGGGGGTGTGGGGGAGTACGTCCTGGTAATAACCTAATGGGGATATGCTGAGTGACATTTTCACAGCTGGATTGACTACTATGGGGTTGCCTTTCCTTTAGAGTTATTAGAATGGAGTCTCACATTTTTGTAATTTTGTGGGTAAGAAAATTTCAGTATATACGGATTTAAAAATGGGAAGATTTGTAGTTATAAAGTTGTTACAGTTGCCCAAAAATGAGTAAGATGGGGTCCATAATTTGTCACAGAATAGACTATAGTGGAATGGGAGTTCTGAGAGGCCAGCAGCACATGCCCAGTGGACTGAGTGGTCTTTCTAGCCTGTACATTACTTCTAGACATTTACATCTAAATTTTTCCATAAGATATCAATTCATGATCCATGAGAAGGTGATTAAACCAGACAAACTTAAAAGCTTGTGGGTGTTAATTAGATGTCACACAATATTCTCCAACTGACATGCTGGGTAATTAATACCTCCTACTACTCCATACACAACTCCCCATATATGCAGGCTTAGTCAGGTTTATTTACTTACATTTACTAGTATCTCATTTTACTTTTTTTTTTTATAAAGGAATGCTATTTTTAGAATAAAAATGTTTGCTGAGAGACAATCTGCATAAACTGACCTACCCCTGAATGAATCAAAATATCTTCAAATTCATCAATGCCAGCTACCCTCTTTTTCACATCTACACATCTGCACAGATCACTCAAAGCTTCAGTGCCCCCTCTCCAGGCCACTTATGGGCATTTGACCATTGTCCCTGGCCGCGATGGGTAATTTGAACTTGAATTGTCAAGTCTTTCCAGCAGTATACAAGTGTTACATCTGTTTAAAGGTAAATGCGAGGGAATGGCTCAGAAGAAAAGGTCTACACGGTCTAGCTTAGTCAATTTGTAGAAAGCCATCATGATGGTTGCTGAATTTTCCTTTTTCAAAAAATATAACCATCAAATCCAGCACTTGGGTTGGGCATTTGAACACAAATTTTGTCCTGAGGGTGGGACTTTGAACAAACCAATTTCCTCAGAAGAAAAAGGGGAAGGGGTGGGGGGAAAGCTTCAAATTGATCAATGCATAAACAATAAAAAAACTAACAAACAAACAAAATTCTGGATGAAATTTATTCCACAAACATTCTATGGAAATTCAATGTCATTAAAATAATGACTGAAAGTGGACCTAACAATCAAACTCACTTCATTAAATGACTTACAACATCAACTGGTCTCTGCAACTAGCAAGGGAATTGTGCAAGTACACACAAGTAGAAATCTGAAATGCAGTTAAATGCAATGCAACATTGCTTTCCAAAAATGATAAACAAGACTTCTTGTCTAAAAATCCAAAAGATATGTGAACCACTCCTGACTTTCTTTAAAAAAGCTGACTATAGGATTTGTCTTTCCTTTGACTCAAAGTTAATATCATGCATTAGTTGTTCCTGATGTAATAATTATTTTCTTTGTGAGAAGTGCAGTAAAATGTCCCTAGATTTGAGGGGAAAATTTCACTGCTCTTCTCTTTCTCCTCCAAGAAAACTGAAAGATACTAAGGTTAAGATGAATGCAAATGTACAATTATTGTGACTGTCTTTTTTTTCAAATGAATCTGGTAATTTACAAGTTCGTGAAATGAAATTTAAAGTAGTCTGGTGACAAGAGCAGTTTACTTAATCTTCACTGACAATGATGGTTTATCCTGTTTTCTTAGTTAAATATCTGCTTACAGACTTGAACTAAACCTGAACCATGGCAACTTAGACTTGGTTCTTTATGCAGCAAAACCTCCTCTCTCTTTAGAATAGGCCTCACTTAATAATACCATTTGAAAAATATTTCTACATAGGACACCTTCACAAGTATTTCTGAGCAACAAAACACTACTCATTCAGACAATTTTCCTTTAGTGGGAGGTGGTGATATTTATTATTTTAGTTGCCTTTATCTTGTGGATGCCATGGAAAATTCTAGAATCAGTTTAATGCTATGGGGCTCTTAGTAGATCTTAAAATTAATAAACTAAAAACAGATAGCATTTAAAAACATAAACTGAGAGGGATGCAAGGGAAAGCAACTATAAATTTTATGTGATTTAAGTCTGTGCCTGTCTAAGGAAATCATTTATTACTACAATGTAAGGTTTGATGATTGTCAAAAGTATCAAAATGAAGCTTGATGGAATTTGTGATGGATAAACTCCCCTAGAATAGGGTTGATTAATTGCAATATTATTTTGCCATATTGCTGATGCTCAGCCAACTTCACTTAGCGAAAAAAAAAAAAAAGCATCTATCTTTACAGAGAAGTCTTTTAACCAGAGTTCAAATGCCAGTTTCTGGACCTTATACCAATGAATTAATTAACAGAAGCTTGAGAAGTTTTGTTTTTTAAAAATGAGTGGCTATTGCCTTTACTATCAGTTGTGGCAATGAACACAGATTTATGACTGTCATATTCCATTACATGCCATACTAGTAAAACCCCTGATCAACTTTGCAGGCTACTTTAAGAGCAACAACAGGGTGATTGGGTTTAACCTTCTTAAAAGAATGGTTACAGCATTAGAGCACAAAAGCACACCGCAGTTCATTTGTTTAGAACAATAAACTAAAATATATTTATAACCTAACTTAAATTTAGAAATATTGAATGTATCTCCTAACACATCTGTATATGTTTTGATTTATTTCTGAATTTAGAAAGTTTAATGAACAATTAATACATAGTTTCAGGAGTCTTACCAACATTATGATAGATTTTTGATTGGCTAAAAAAAAGGAATGAATGAAGAGATTTTCCCATTAGCCAGAGTTAGTTTCATAATTTTTAACTATGAAAAAAAGGCTTACTTGTCAGAACACAAAAAGGAGGAACTGTACATAAACCTAAACAACTAATCTACATTTTCTTACTTTGCTATTGATAGTAATTTCCAATATGGCAACTATCATTTTAGATTATTACTACAGTTAATCATCATATTATGTTACCAAATAACTACCAATAGTCAACCAGAACACAACCTAAATACAGTAATCCATTGTTTCTGCAAAGTCTGTGGGTGGTTGAAGTGCTGTTGGAGTCTCTAGGTCAAACAGAGATAGATAAGGCAAAGCCTCAT